TGATGCCCCTGTTACCTAGCAGTAAATAGGTACCCGGGAGTTAGACAGCTGTTATGGGCTGCTTCCTGGCGGTGTATGTGTGTGGGTAAAAAAATAGTTAGTAGTTAGTAACAGTTGATTGATTGACAGTTGAGAGGCAGGCCGAAAGAGCAGAGCTCGACCCCCGCAAGCACAACTAGGTGAATACACTACAAATTTGAGGAAGCCATCCTCAGTTTTGAAGCCCTGCGCTCATTTGTCTTTTCCCGAGGCAAGGCGCCAAGTCTGTCATGACTCCTCTTTTGCCAACGTATTTTGTGCTCATGTTCTGCGTTCCACCTCTCCTCGCCCTTCCCTCCTTTCTTGGTCTCACAACTGTTTCCAGGCCTTGAACCTGGATACGCCCATCACCACCTCGTTTGCTCCCTTCCGCTCTGAACCACAGGATCCTCCTGGTTCTCAATCTGGTTGTTTCCCTTCTTCCTTCCCAGTCTGCTGTATCTTCTGTGTCTTCTTTCCTGTCTTCCCCTGTTCCTTCTTCCCAGCCCTCAATGCTGTACCTTGATCCTCTACGCCGCCTGTCTGTCCAAGCTGTTATCCATCATGCTCTCGGCAGTCTTCATGTTGTTTGCTTCCGTTCCTCTTCTCCTGTTGACACAATTGTGTCTGTCGCCCAGTATGTTGTTACTGGCACACCTGTCTCTTTGAATCAGAAACGTAAGCCTGGCTCCTCTCCGGTGGGTAAAAAGGCATCGCTTTCTTTCTTGCCCCCACCTTTGACTATCATTGCGTCATCTCATTTCAGTGGTCGGGCCCCCTGTCCCAGCTATGAAGGTTTCTTTAACCCCTGATTCTCTTTCAATTGCTGCCCTTGCTGAGGTGCACTTCCCTGTTTCTGCCTCTCCCTCTCCGTTGTCTCTTCCTAATCCGGACCCTGTCCGTCCCCCTCTGGTCATTCCTCCCACTCCCTTAACTCCATCGTCCTTACTAAATTTACCATGCCCCCTAACCCTGATTTCACTGCCCTGATCCTGAACTTCTTTAATATGCTGTGTTCTTCTTTACCTTTGTTTATTCAGTGTTCTCTGTTGCTGTCCTCTCTCTTTTTGACAATGTTTATCCATCAATGGAATATTCGTAGATTTTATGCCAACTTCCATGAACTCCAACTTCTGATTACAGTTTTCACCGATTTGTGTGTGTCTCCAGGAACCGATGCTATGTGCTCGTCTTGGTCACTTTTGTGGTTATTCCTTTCTTCCCCCCCCCCCCTTCCTGGCTTTTCCTGGGGCCCATAACTCTACTGCTCTCTTGATTTTTACTAATATTCCCTGAGTACCCCTACTTTTTCAGTTGCCTATCCAATGTTCTGCTGCCCATATCTTTGGTAGTAAATGGTATACAGTCTGTTCCATTTATCGTCCCGCTTTCTCTTCCCCCATGAATGAATTTCCAGGGACACATTCTAAACATATCAAAAAAAGTTTCAAAAACTGTGGGCATTCTTTCTAAGATCAGATATTATGTACCACGCCCTGCCCTGGTGACTCTCTATTACTCCCTTATCTATCCATATCTCAACTATGGTATTTGTGCTTGGGGCTCTACTACCCAAAATCACTTACGTCCTCTAATTACTCAACACAAAGCTGCTATTAGGACAATATCCAATTCTGGCCCCAGACATCACTCGGTACCCCTATTCAAATCCCTGAATATGTTAGACATTAAGTCACTGCACATTCTCTCATGTGTACTATACATATACAAAACGCTAAATTGTAATGCCAATCCTGATCTCAAAAGCTTCATAGAAGGTTGTAACAGAACCCATGAGCACCACACCAGAAATAAATACAGTTTTGATATTCCTAGAGTACGACTTAATCAAACCAGAAATGCTCTACAAATCAAGGGGCCCAGGATGTGGAATGACCTTCCCAACCATGTTAAAGACAGTACCTCTCTCAACCAGTTTAAGTTAAAAACGAAGCTATACCTAATAAATTCCCTGTAACCTACCTTACCTCTCTATTGTCAACCCATGTATGTTTTTTGTTTTTTTTTTTGTTTTACAAATCAACGCTGTTTTAATGTAATTTTCTGTAATAATTTGTAATTGTATTTGTGCTGTTTTTTCAACAATGTTCCCCCCTCTTTTACCTCTATTTTTATTTGTACTCAACGCATTTTTTTCTTTTTACCCATTAGTTTTAAGCTTTAGTCAGTAGTGTTTTTTCCTGCCCGAAACGCTTTGCGTAATAGTGGCTTTAGGCATTGTATGTACTAGCTCCTATCTATAAAGCCAACAAACTTTGTAAAATCTCTTTATGTATGTACCTTTGCCTAAATAAAAATTATTATTATTATTATTATTATTATTATATGGCCCGCTTTCTCTTCCTGATCTTAAGCACCTCTTGGACTCCTTACCGAAGCCTGTGCTCCTGTTGGGGGATCTCGACTGTCAGCATACCCTCTGAGGTGATGTTCTGACAAACACCCGGGGCCGCCTTCTCGAATTGTTTGTCCTCTTTACTTCCCCATCTCTTCTGAATTCTGGTGAACCCACTCATGTGGACTCCCGCACTCGCACCCTTTCCTGTCTTGATCTTTCTCTCTGCACATCATCTCTTTACTTAGATTTCACTTGGCGGGTTCTTGATGACCTCTATACCTCTATAACAGTGATCATTTCCACCATCCTTGTTACCTTTTTCTCTCTTCATCCTCCCCTCTCCTTTCCTAGGTGGCAGTTTGCCAAAGCTGACTGGAACCTATTCACCCTCTGTGCTACACTCTCCGACCTATCCACTCTGCCTTTCCCTCGAGCCCACCACCTCTTTCATAACACCGTCTTTAACGCTGCCCTATGCTCTATTCCTCGCTCTACCTCCCTGGGCATGTGGAAATGCATTTCCTGGTGGACTGCAGACTGCTCAAGCTGTCCGCTGTAAGCGTGCAGCCTGGAAGAAACACCGAAATTAGGTAAAGAAATTTTACCTCGATAAACTTATTTCAATTTCAATTTCAATTCCTCAATCCTTCCTTCCTTCGTAAGCCTGTACTTGAATCTCATCCCTTAGATTTCCGCGCTTATCTCCGACTTCCTTATAATGATCCCTTCTCTATCTCTCTCTCTCTCCAAACTTCAGTCTGCTCTGGCCCTCTGCAGTTCTACGGCAGCGGGCTCAGATGACATTCATTATGAGATGCTTCGCCATCTCCCTCCATGCGGGTCTCAGTATTTATTGAATCTGTTTAACCGTGTCTGGAAGTAATTGTCAGTCCCCAAAGGCTGGCTCACTGCGGTTGTTCTCCCTATTCGGAAACCAGGGTCTCTGGGGACATCCCCTAATGACTTCTGCCCCATTGCCCTCGTGAGTTGCGTTTGCAAACTCTTTGAACGTATGGTCGGTGTCCATCTGATGTGATTCTTAGAACACTCCCACCACCTCTCCCCTTCTCAATTTGGTTTTCGCAAGTGCTGTAGCATGACTGATGTCCTGGTGAACTTTGAGGTCTATATTCATACTGCTTTTGCTGACAAGACCTCTGTTGCTGCTGGCATTTTTGACCTTGAAAAAGCATATGACACCACCTAGAGATACCATATTATGTCCCAACTTTGTTCTTTTGGCCTTCGTGGTAATCTCCCTCTCCAAAAAAAAATCTATAATTTTTTTTTGTCTTGTGCACAGGGGTGTAAATGTCCTCAGGACCCCTTAGCAGCTTAAGGGTTAATCCTGTCCATCCGGTGGTCATCGAGATTCAACATTGGTTGTTTCTTATCTCTAGTAAATTTAAATCAGTAGTGTTGCTGGGTTCCCAGCCATATTGGTGTTAATTTGAATGAGCGTGCGGATGCTGCCGCTAGAGAAGCTATCCGTTCTTGTCTCATATCCCGTAAAGGTATTCCTTATTCCGACTTATCCATTTATTCATTCCTCCATCCTTGCCCGTTGGCAGGGTTGTTGGTCTTCTGTAGTTGGTAACAAGCTGCATACTCTCAAACGTAGTGTGTCCCCGTGGCCTTCCTGCCACTGTAACCAGCAGTGGGAAACGGCTCTGGCAAGGTTGTGGATTGGCCATACTCGCTTAACGTATGGTCACTTAATGGAGCGCCGCCCTGCTCCTTATTTTCCGAATTGCGTTGTCCCTCTTACAGTCGTGCATATCCTTGTTGAATATCCTGACTTCCAGGACGTGCGTGTGCCTTGCTTTCCGACCGTCCCTTGTGGTCACTTGTCCCTTGATAGAATTCTTGGTGAATCGGATACTTTTGATATCATTCGCCTTATGCGTTTCTGTTCTCGTATTGACATTCTTGGTGATATTTAGCGACTTCTGATTATTTCACACTTTGATGGTGCTACATAGCCTTCCCGGTTTGGTACCTTCTTTTGATAATTACTTACTGTATATACAAGGTACATTGGGTTTGAGAGTACATAGCATTGATTATTTTACATTCTTGTAAAGCCACTAGCATGCACAGTGGTTCGGGCATTACTCTTGCACAGTAATGTTCTTGTAATGTAATGTAACTTGATAAAACACTGAAATTTGCTTGACTAATACAGTAATGATGAATTTTTGTTATACTTCAGTATTGTTTCCTTGGGTAATTAGAGCCTTACACAATACTGTACAGTACAGTATGTACAAATTTTTGAGAATGTAATGTATACAAGAAAATAGGATTCATTTTATTCCAAGTGATTTTTATTTTGTAGATATGCCCTTTTAAGACTTCTAGTGATGCTAACTTTACATTAATGATTAGAAAGTTAAAATTGGTATTGAGCATTTGTTATACTGTACTGTTAACCACATACTTTGATTTAAATTTTATTTTCATCATAAGCATTTCACATGTGCCAGTATATCTAAAATAATTTGAATATTCCTCCATTAACATAGTATATCATTAAGGCAAACAAAATAGTGTACAAAATATAGTATGAAACATTACTACTATGTAAGAATTCAGTTGTAAAAATCGCCTTTTATTTAAACAGGTACCAAGTGGAAATAAGTGGTGGTTTAGGACCTACTGCAGGCAAGGTGTGGCGTATTGGTCTCATGGGTTATAACTGCATCCCAGAAAATGTGGATCGGGTACTCAAGATCATGAAAGAAGCTTTAGCAAATGAAAAATTTCTTAAAAGCAATCTGTAATATATCAGGACCTTAACAAGAATCATAAGGGTCTGATGATACCTTGTATAGGAATTGGCGGTGTGGGATAAAGCAAGCTGTTGATCTATGTTATATAAAAAGCTTCTCTCAAAGATTATGTTAAACTTTTTAAAGTTTGTCTGCTTTCATCAATATTTAAGCAATGTAAAATTCTAACCGGTGCTAGCTGACAATTTTAACAGGTGCTATAATTAGTTGGCAGGTTTACAAACATGTCGTGTAGTACGTGTTTTTTCCAAGTGATAGTTTATTGTTCATGGCTGTATGTACAGCAGTGTCTAGCATAAACACAACTTAGTTCAGTGGAGGAATAACAATCCTGTTATACCTAGATTTTCTAGATGAATGAGGATTTGTGCCAACAAAAAAAAAAAATTAAAACATGGTTTATGTTTTCATATGAAAAATTAACATTTTCCATGCGATTTTGGCAACAAAATATATGCTAACCTTCTGCTAAAAAAGTACATTGTGAGATAAAATAGAAACAACAAAATTTCTTGCTGTAACTGAACTTAGTTACAGTACGGGACTAAAGATTGTTAAATTTTAAATATGGTATTGTTAATTTTAGTGTTGTATTTTACTCTGACATTAACTCTGTATTTACTGTACTTTTTTTACTGTATTCAGCTAAAATATGACAAAAAATTTGGATTGTGAATATTTTCCAGGTAATTCTGCAGAACAGATAGCCTATACCTGTTTTGACCAATAGTGTATATACTGGAATATATATAAAGGTAGATAATTCCACAATTGAAATTGTTTGTGCTCAACCATAGTTTTTGTAAATAATTATATGAATACACTTTACTGTAAACACTATTTTTTACCTATGTAATAAACATTACCAGTCAATATGTGATAGGTTGTCTCTTGTCAAGAGTTAAGGATTGGAAACGTCAAGTTGGGACTTTGTCAAGAGAATGTAATAGGCTTTTATTAACAGTACTTACAGTATATTTACTTTATATATATATATAAAGCTGCCGAAAGACAAATAACTTGCATACTGTACTTAAATTAGGTAAAAACAAATTGAACAGCAAACCAAATTTTTTTTTAAAGATTAAAAGTATTTTGAGGGCTTACCACCTAAACCACATTATTTCTAACAATAAATATGTATAAAATCCAAGTTATTGAACTGCATGTATGATCTTCCTTTATAAAAAAATAGGTATCCAGTTAAAATGCCACTATTGTAAAATGATATAAATACAAAACTAAAATGCTAGCGACATTTGACAAGTGCAGTTTTAACAGGTGAGGTGAATCAACATCATATTTCCAGGTTTCATGGATCAAGTCTTTGAATACACAGCCAACTCTTCTAACTTTATTCATTACAGCTTGTGACAATTTTACTTTGTCAAAATTTTAGATCAAAATTGTAATGTCATTAAAATATATTGGTATCTGTTCCCCTATAAGATCCTCAGTTCTCTTGGTCTTGACACCGTTGAAGTAATATAAAAAAAAAAGGTGCCAAGCCGGGAAGAATATGTAGCACAGACATTGGTGAAGTCTCCCTTGATTAATGGTCAAGATATTAAGATTCTGTCGATAATACGTTAAGACGCCCAACTATACCATTGTGTACCTTTTACACACACACAATACTGCATAAATTTCCTGCTGTCACTATAAAAGTTCAGGGAGATAAAAGCAAGAGTTTGAGAAGAGAGGAATGTGACCCTAGAGCACAAGTGAAGTAGAGTACCCTTAACTTGATGTACAAAAAATAATAATGTTGAGTTTTTAATGAAAAATGCATGTACTGTATATCTAAATCTAAAGTAAATGTATATCCCAGTTCTTAATAAAATTTAAGTTATGAACAGGGAAAAAGTATTTATGTAACAAACCACAGGGTGATTAGATTGTATTGAATATCAAGAGATGCAGTTAGGTGAGTTGTTCCATCTCTAATGTAGAAATGTATAATTTGAGGAGACTTCTGTAGTGCCAGATAGACAAGGAATCATAATGTTATAGGAAAATGCAATACAAAAGTATAACTCGTATAGAATGAGAAGAACTACAGTATATGTTAAGAATCGACTGAAGCATGGGAAGTATTAATTTACAGATTTTTGCCTTTTTGGCAGGAAAGGGAAAGGTACTACTAGGTTGCATCAATCATGGCCTGCCAGGGACCAACAGCCAGAACCCTGGCACTGCTGCCTAACATTGCAACAGTAGCATTTATTTCTTTATTATGCCACCACCAGGGAAGGCACCCAGAAAGTCAGCAAAACAAAATGGAACACAGCTAGTGATAGAAGAGACCAAAGCTTTGAGAACCCACATCAGAACTCCTTCAACAATGTAACCGATCGAAAAAGTTTAAAACTAGCACCAGCTCGTTCACCCCCACTCGTTGGAGGATGGGGGAGGTAGCTAGCATCAGTAACACCATCAGTTCTATGCTGATGTGTGTAGTGTGTGCATGGTTGCCTCTGCTGGTTTGGGCTTAATGCCAGTCCATGTGTCATCTAGGGATCTGGTTCTTTCCCAGCTTACCAGGCTCAGATTCCTGAACTGGCAAAAGTCCCAGTTGGTTCCATTCCAGGTTTGAACTTGACTGGGCCTTGTTTGGAACTCAGTCGGTCTTGCTCCCTGGCCCTGGCTGCACCACTACTATCTATCAGTGTTGAGTTGGCCCTGGGTGACTGTTGTTGCTCAAGCAGCTGTGGAACAACTTTGCCTGTCACATTTATCCCCTGGGCAGAGTTTGACTTCAGAGTCTGTTCTAGTTTCTCCATGGCACCCCCTTTTGCTGCTGCCACGATTGTTGAGTGCAGACCCCATGCACCCTGCACCAGTTGCTATATTGCCAGCTTTCTCATCGGGTTTTGGTTTCCTGGTGCCTTCCTCTACCCTCGCTCGACATTTTCATGGATGCCTCGGCTCTCAGTTGGGGCTTTGTGATCAGCGCTTTCCAAGCTGGACGGGGGGCAAGGGTCCCCTCTCCATCAGGCGCACAGTATAGTCTGGGAGTTTGCAGCATGTGGCTTGCCCTGCTAGGGGGTTCGAATTCTGTGAGGCTCCGTAACTTGGCTCCATTCAGACTGTTACCCTGTAGTTCACTATCTCAACTGGGGAAGCTCCCTTCGGTCCCTGCTTTTGGAGCTGGATTTTTCAGATTGCTCTTCTGGCTACTGGGTTTCATTCTCCATGCAATTCACGTGCAGGGAGTGCCCAACATCCTTGCCGACGGTCTATCCCAGTTCCTTTTCGTTTCCAGAGTGGATTGTTGATGCTGCTGCTTTCCTACAGCCTTGTCGGATGTTCAGGTGCCCGGACGTGAACCTTTTCACATCAGCGTGAAAATCTTCCTTCCTTCCATCAGGGATGGAAGGAAGGAAGGAGGGAAGGAGGGATGGAAGGAAGGAGGGAGGGATGGAGGGAAGAAGGGAGGAAGGGATGGAGGGGAGGGAGGGAAGAAGGGAGGAAGGGATGGAGGGGAGGGAGGAGGGGAAGAGATGAAGGGATGGACGGACAGGAGGGAGGGATGGTTGGATGGAGGGAGGGAGCTGGGAAGGAGGGATGGAAGGAAGGAGGGAGGGAGGAAGGGATGGAGGGGAGAGATAGAGGGAGGAAGGGATGGAGGGGAGGGAAGGAGGGAGAGATGGAGGGAAGGAGGGAGGAAGGGATGGAGGGAGGAGGGATGGAGGAAGGGATGGCGGGAAGGAGGTAGGGAGAGATGGAGGGAGGGAGCTGGGAAGGAGGGAGGGATGGTAGGATGGAGGGAGGGAAGACGAGAGGGAGGGATGGAGCACAATGGATGTTGAGATGAAGCAGAGACAGCGTGTGTATGGGAAGTATGGGGGGGGGGGTGTCGGTGGTGGGGAAGGGAAGAGATAAGGCTAACACTTGACCCAGTTAACCAGATGTTTCTTAATTAAATTCTGGATGTACATCATATACATTTTTGCTTACAGATTTTGTTTAGTAATATTATTAGGATAATAAGTTATAAAATACTTGTTTCATGAATGCTTTATTAGATGGATATTCTCCAGGCTGTCTCTGGTTGGTTGGCAGTCTACTGAGCCATTTTCCAGAAGGGTCTTGGGGGGAGGGGGGGGAGGCAGAAAGTGAGGGTGTCGGGGGTAGAGGTTCAGTGAGGGAGGGGGATGAAAGGGGTAGGCGGCCTGCTTGCCATGTGAGGACCCTCTGATGCCAAGACAATACCGACCTTCGGTAATATCGACCACCAGACTGTTATACGAGGCTCTAAATACCGGTCTCCCAAACCGGTCGTTACTACCGGCAGATCGGTATAAAAGAGGCCGTTAAATTGAGTGGATACTAAAAAAAATACTAAATAAAACTATATAAAATAACTAACTAAATAAAACTAAATAAATAAAACTTTACTAAATAAAAACAAAAATGACAAAACTTTTCAGCTGAGAAAGGTTTCCAATAGTGTGTTCTATCAAGGTTTCACTGTACTGTAATGTATAATCAAACTGGGAGGCAAAAGTTATTAACCCTTTAACTGCGCAACGCATTAAAGGCCTACAGGCCCACGTCTGGGGTGCGCTACCCGCCTCCGGGTATTTGTATTTTCTCGTTCCATTCAAAACTCCCACGGCTACATGGGGTTCACATCAGCTTCCTCAGGGCTCTTGTAAACAGAAGCATCTTTAAAAAAAATCGTAGTCCACGTTCCCAGGTGTGAGAGCCTCAGTAGTGAGTGAGCAACCAAGGCTGGTGCACGAAGCATGAGTTCACAGCACTGCTGTTCAGCTTGTGACCACAGCATCGCCTAATAATGTCAAAATATATATATAACTTGTATTATTTAGCCATGATAGTATTACAGAAGAGCCTGAGTGTGATAATGACTGTGTACAATGTTCAAATATTAGTGATTCAATGCTGTTCACGATGTTCACAGTGCTAGCCACAGCACCATAGCTTTATTTCGTCCATCTAGGAATCTTCAAACGACTTCTTAGGTTCCTTTACAAAATAAACTTGTGGTCAATTTTGTATTTACAGGATTTAGTGACCAGTATTGTGATAACAGCAAGATTGTGGTGATAAGCACTGTGCATAGTATTGTGGGAGGAGTAATTGTGGTGAGGGAGCGAGGAAGAGAATCGAGGTAGCCTGACTGTGTTGCAGCCACTCTTGTTTTGCTCATCATACTAGCTTAGTGGTTCGCTATGGTGAACACATATGTACATGGGTATATACAATGTGTGTGTATATACCCATGTACATATGTGCGTAGTATTGTGGGAGAAGTAATTGTGGTGAGGGAGAGAATCGAGGTAGCTCACTGTGTGGCAGCCCCTCTTGTTTTGCTCATCATACTAGCTTAGTGGTTCGCTATGGTGAACACATTTGTACATGGGTATATACAATGTGTGTATATAGTGTAGTAACAACAACAGGAGTATGTTGGGAGGAAGCTGTTTTGGTGAGGGAGGTAACGTAATCGTAGCGTCGTCTGATGGCTGCTGTGTGATTTCTCTTGCAGTGTATGGTGGCCACTGTAAAGTTTGGACACAATACCGGCTTACTTGCATAGTTCTGGTGAATAAAACATGTAGATAGGTATACATAACATGTGTAAATAGTGTAATACAAACAATAACAGTATGGTGGGAGGAGCAATGTTGGCGAGTAAGATGTTGGAGGAGTGAGGGAGAGACTGGATGTTGGAGGAGTGAGGGAGAGACTGGATGTTGGAGGAGTGAGGGTGTGGCAGCTGACACTTGCGGAGTTCTGAGTGTGTTCATGGTGAATATATATAGTGTGTGATAGTGTATAGTGTGTAAATAGACTGTATATATACATAAATTAGCATAATACAATGGAAATATGTACCGGATATGTGTACACATGTGTCATGCACGTAACACAGTGTCTTCGGACAGTACGGATGTTCTACTGCCATAATATAGTGTACGTGTTCATTATACATAGGATTGGCACGTAAAAGTATATAAAATGTATTTGGAACTGTGCTTAGAAAATTAACAAAAATATATTCGCGGCAACTCACGAATCCTACCCCGAGCGCCCTTCTGGCCCCAGGGGCATATGACACGGGCGACCAGGGAATGATGACATCATGCACCAACTTATGGACCCCATAGCAGCTAAAGTACTGACAATTTCGTCCTTCTGTTACTATACCCTTACTCAGGGAAGGGTTTTTGACACTTTAAAAACAGAAGAGAATTTTTTCCAGAGATTTTATTTCCTGCACACTGGGGGGGGGGTGTCATATTTGGAGGCCGCGCAGTTAAGGGGTTAAAGTTTTGAGCATTACAGTGAAAGTAACATACAGTGGTACCTCGGTTTAAGAGTTTAATCCGTTCCTTGAGACAGCTCGTATTCCGAAAACTCGTAATCCAAAGCTAATTTCCCCATAAGAAATAATGGAAAATGAATTAATCCGTTCCTGACTATCCATAAACCTCACGTCAAACTAAATTTTATACCTAATTCATCTAAATAAATCTACAAAACTATGTTAAAGTTATTACTTACCCTTGCTGATGACTGGTTGGCATATGGAAGATGGTGAGGAGGAGGGAGGAGGAGAGGTGTTACTGTTTGGAAGGGGAGTCCCCTTCCATTATAACATCAGGCAGTGAGGACTTCACTGGTGTGCACACCTTACCTTGATACCTTGAGGTTACCTTGAGGTGCTTCCGGGGCTCAGCGTCCCCGCGGCCCGGTCGTCGACCAGGCCTCCTGGTTTCTGGACTGATCAACCAGGCTGTTGGACGCGGCTGCTCGCAGCCTGACGTATGAGTCATAGCCTGGTTGATCAGGTATCCTTTGGAGGTGCTTATCCAGTTCTCTCTTGAACACTGTGAGGAGATTGCCAGTTATGCCCCTTATGTGTAGCGGAAGCGTGTTGAACAGTCTCGGGCCTCTGATGTTGATAGAGTTCTCTCTCAGAGTACCTGTTGCACCTCTGCTTTTCAACAGGGGTATTCTGCACATCCTGCCATGTCTTCTGGTCTCATATGATGTTATTTCTGTGTGCAGGTTTAGGACCAGCCCCTCTAATATTTTCCACGTGTAAATTATTATGTATCTCTCTCGCCTGCGTTCAAGGGAGTACAGATTTAGGCTCTTTACTCGGTCCCAATAGTTTAGATGTTTTACCGAGTGGATTCTAGCAGTAAAGGATCTCTGCATGCTCTCCAGGTCAGCAATTTCTCCAGCTTTGAAAGGGGCTGTCATTGTGCAGCAGTACTCCATTCTATAGAGAGCACAAGCGTTTTGAAAAGTATCATCATCGGTATAGCATCTCTAGTGTGAAAAGTTCTTGTTATCCAACCTGTCATTTTTCTTGCAGTTGTGACAGCTACTTTATTGTGTTCTTTAAAGGTAAGGTCTTCCGACATGAGTACACCCAGATCCTTTACATTGCCTTTTCGTTCTATGTTATGATTTGCCTGAGTTTTGTACGTGGTTTCCGTTTTTATATTTTAATTTTTTCCATAGCGCATGAGCTGGAACTTGTCTTCGTTAAACACCATGTTATTTACTGTAGCCCATAGAAAGGCTACAGTAAATACATATTTACTGCTACAAAAGGCTAAAGGCTAAAGGCTACATATTTACTGTAGCCCATAAATAACATAGCCCATACAATGGGCTATGTTATTTACATAGCCCATTGTATAGAAAGACCTGATCTACATCTGACTATAGTACCCTGGGGGACTGAGCTCTTCACGGTTAATGGGCTGGATTTTATTTTATTGACTATTACACATTGGGTTCTGTTGGTAAGGAAATTGTAGATCCATCTGCCTATTTTTCCGGTAATTCCTTTTGAACGCATTTTATGTGCAATAACACCATGGTCACATTTATCAAAAGCTTTTGCGAAATCTGTGTAAATTACATCAACGTTTTGTTTGTCTTCCACAGCATCTAATGCCATATCATAGTGGTCCAGCAAATGCGACAGGCAAGAGCGCCCTGTTCTGAAACCATGTTGTCCGGGGTTATGGAGATGCTGTGATTCCATGTATTTTGTGATCTTACTTCTTAGCACTCTCTCAAAAATTTTTATGATGTGCGATGTTAGTGCTATCGGTCTGTAATTTTTTGCCTCTGCCTTATTTCCTCCTTTATGAAGTGGTGCTATCTCTGCTGTTTTTAGTATATCAGGAATAACGCCAGTATCTAGGCTTTGTCTCCACAGAATGTGGAGGGCTTGCGATAGTGGTTTTTTACAGTTCTTGATGAATATGGAGTTCCAAGAATCCCACTCTGTGGGATTCTTGGAACTCTGGCACATTTTGCCTGCATACCAGTAGGACTTACTTATCTTACTAAGAATCTGTCTAAGGACACTTGTTTTTCCTTACATTTTAACACTTGTCTGTAGTAAGTAGTATCTTTGTATTATTGTCTGTAGTATATGTATGACCATGGTATATGAGTGGCCATGATATATGTGGGGCCATGGAATATATGTGACCATGGTATATGTTGGCCATGGTATATGTGTAGCCGTGGTATATGTGTGGCCGTGTTATATGTGTGGCCTTGGTATATGTGTGGCCATGGTATATGTGTGACATCACATTTAATGTAAGACATGTAAGACATCACATTGTCATTTAAAAGGTCAATGCAACGGCCTGATACAGCTTTATCTGGGTGAGTTTTTTCAACAAAACTTTGCAGTTCTTCCCATACATCACACATTTTCTTAATCAAGAAGGGACATCCTCTACTGCCTCTACTCACAGCTATTTTCTTAGGTTGAACCTTACCAATGGCTTTCTTGAGACCCATGGCGAGATATATAATAACAACTTTTATGCTCAAATGGCCAAAAAAATGACAAAAAACTGTAAATCCTTGTGAAGAATTCAGGCGGGATAGTCACTGGGCGCGAGACACTTGTAAACTAAGGCGCGATCGCCGTGTCACCACGCGCTAGTCAGCCTGTACGTGTATCAACATACTCGTGTTCCGAGACCAACCCTCGCCTTCCGAGGCCCATTTTCCGAGCAAATCCTGCTCGTATTCCGAAAAACTCGTATACAGGGACACTCGTATTCCGAAGTACCACTGTACCTTATGAGGTGATGAAAATGGAATGTAAGAGTTCAATACTGTAGTAATGGGCCATGAAGTTATGTATACACTATCTGGTAATATGATGCAGTTTCAAATTACCTAAAAATTATTTATCAGAAACTACATGCTTCTAGATTAATATAATTATATTATTTTTATGCCACACGCAAAGAAATTTAAAATCTTGAACAAGACCCTAATAATCACTGCTACAAGCTATTATAATTCTGATTTGCTAGACTTCTCTGAGTCTCCTTTCTTCCTGTTACCATTTCTTTTTGTATCTTGGTAATCATCACTGGAATCACTCTTGATGTCTTCTCCAAAGGGCTCAGAGAGGCATTTCTTATCCTCAAGAACTTTCAAACAAACAGATTCCTTAAGACCAGTCTCCTGGTCTCCAAAATACCAATCATTGATGTCATCTTCATAATCCTCAATGAAACCCTCGCACTGAAAAAGAACATAAAGTATCACAATAATGAAGGAACACTGCAATAGGCCTACTGACCCATGCAAGACAGGGGTATCTCTCAAGTATCTCTATCGCATATCTGTCCAACCTTTTGCTAAAAGTCTGAAATATTTGCTGCAATGATGCGATTTGAAACCTTTTTCACCCTACTACCAAACATTTCTATATCCTTCCTAAATCTGAATTAGTCCTAAATCCTTACCTAAATTTCCTAAGCCAATTAGAAATATGATCATGATCCATTTATTCACTCAAGTCATATTTCCCATAAAAAACCAGCGTTGAATGTAATGAAACGCCATTTTCTGGGTGAGTCCCGGAGGCTCCCCGGAGCTATCCCAGGCTGATATGCTAATGTCAGACTTTGGCATCAGTCATGTGTATGGAGTTCTTAGGCCTACCGGGGACCACGGCCAGAACCGGGCCCCCTCAGAGAGGCAAGGGGAGCAATGGCCTATAGAAGCCCCCGTGTAGTTGGAAGCATTCTATGTCTGCCATCGACCGGAACAGGCACCCAGAAAGGTAAGCGCCCCAAAACAAACCCCTATTCTGGTTAAAATTGCTACCTAATACCGAACTAGTGGATAGAACTCCCCAACCGAAAACAAGCAAATTAGTGTGACGTCACACACTGCCGCGCCGCTGTCTGCGCAGCTCCCCCCTCCCCGGGAGGGGGAAGGGGGAGCCCCAGACCCCCCGCGCCGGCTACCCACACCTCAGTTCTTGAGGCTGGATGTCAAAAACGCGAAAAACCGCCGACCGGAGGGAGGGAGGGATGCCGGGGAGCCTCCGGGACTCACCCAGAAAATGGCGTTTCATTACATTCAACGCTGGTTTTCTGGGGGGAGCCCCGTCGGCTCCCCGGAGCTAACTACCCACAGACAGAAAAAGAGGGACTTACCCGGGAGGCGGTCGTCGCTCACCCCTCAACTCGAAGCCGAGACAACTGGCTGCAACCGCCGACCCAAAGCAACACAGGCCCGACGAGGGCCAGGGACATTCACAAGGTAACGAGCAGCCAGGACCCTGTTCGACCGCCAAAATCCCCGCGCCCGAATATCAGACCAAGACATATTCCCAAAGACGGCAGCAAGAGCCGCGAACTTACGAACGTCATGGGCACGGGGATAGACCGCAGGCTGGCTAGACCTAATAACCCTGCGGACGACCTGAGAGACCCGAACCCGCGAACAGGGAAGAAGGGAAACCGGATCAACCCACAGCGCGTCCCCGGACACAGAAGCTGTGGCGCGCAAATAACGGCGAAGCGCCGCAACCGGACACAAAACATGATGCACCCCCGGCCTGACCAACCAAGCATCAACCACCCATGGACCCCTCCGGAACGCAGCAGTCTCATTCTTCGCCAGAAAAGAAGGAGACGGCTGCAAACGAACAAAACTATCACCACGACCAAAAGAGCAGAAACCCCTGCGCCGGAGGAGAGCATGAAGCTCCCCTACCCGACCCCCAGAGGCCAAAGCCAACAAGAAAAGTGCCTTGGAAAAACAATCCTGGACCGAAGGGGCCACAACGAAACGAGGAGATGAAAGGAAAGCGAGCACTCTGTCCAAAGACCAGGACGGCTCAGGCGACGCATGAGCAGGCCGGAGGTGAAACAATGCACGAGACAGCTTGCGAAACGGCGCAGACGTAACATCGATACCGAAAGCAAGCTGAAGCGGCTCCGCCAGCGCCGCACGATACGAAGCGACAGTGTTAGGCATAAGATGACGGTCCTGAAACAACCACGAGAGGAAGGACAAGACCACCCGAACAGACAAGGAGCTAACACGACGAAGACGCAAAAAGAAACGGAAGGACCGCCAGGAAACTTCATACTGCCGCCGAGAAGAAGCCCTCAGGTGGGACACCAACAAGGAGGCCACCTGATCACCATAGAGATGATGATAGACTCGAGTCAAAAAAACCATACGCGAAGACTCGAGGAGAAGATCGAACCAGCTACGTGACGTACCGGCCCGATCTGCTGAAAGAGGCGGAGCCGCGGGAAAACCCTCGGGTTCGGACACCGAGCAACCAGCGCCTGAAACCAAGGCTGGGCCGGCCACCAAGGGGCCAGAAGGACAACTCTCCCCCGGTAAGTCTCTAAGCGAGTCAGGACCTGGAGCAACAGCCGAACTGGGGGAAAGAGGTACAGGAACCCCCACCTCGACCAGTCGAGCCGAAAGGCATCGACCCCGACGGCCTCGCAATCGGGGAAGGGCGCCGCATAAACGGGAAGACGCCGCGACCACGCCGACGCGAAGAGGTCCACTTCGGGGCGCCCGAACGTCTGGCAAAGCCAACGGAAGGACTCGTCGTCGACCGTCCACTCCGTGGAGAGGGGAACGAAGCGAGACAGGGCGTCGGCCAAGACGTTGGACACGCCCCGTACGTGAACCGCCAGGAGAGCCAAACCCCGAGAACTCAGCAGACGAGTCACCCGAAGCGACCAACCCCAAAGAGACAAGGACCGCATCGAACCCCCGCGGTTCAGGCAATGAACCACCGGAGAGCAGTCCGAATGGAGCCGAATCGTCGATCCGCGGGCCACCCGAATCCTCCCCAGAGCAAACCACACTGCCGCGAACTCCCGCACCGTACTGTGAGCTCGACGGAAGGACGGATCCCAACGCCCCTGGCCGGCCTGGTGAGCACTGGTCACAAAACCCCAGCCGAGAGACGACGCATCCGTGTACACATCGAGCGAGGGCTCGGGTAGGCGCCAAGGCACTGAACCCCGAAAAACCCGAAGAGGAAGCCGGTGACGCAGCAACCGACGCAAGGCCCCCGGGGGTCGAACTCTGCGATCGCGAGAGAGGCGGAAGGGGGAACCCCGAAGGAACCAGAACAGCCGTCGAAGCCAAACCCGACCCGGCGGGTAGACCACCATCGCGAAGTTCAGGCTCCCGCACAGCCCCTCGAGCAACCGCCGGGTGACCCGAGGGCCCTCCAGAAACAGACGAAGGCGGGACCGCAGCCGCAGGAGAGACTCCGGAGGGAGAGACAAGGAGGCGGTCCGAGAGTCCCACACGAGACCCAGCCAAGTCCGAACCTGAGAGGGAACCAGATGGGACTTCCTCCAGTTCACCAAGAACCCGAACCCGGCGAGCTGGGAAAGAACCAAATCCCTGGCTAGCAAGCAAGCTGACTGGCTGGGAGCCCAAACCAGCCAGTCGTCGAGGTAGGCCAACACCCGAACACCTAGGAGACGCAAACGAGCCACCACAACCCGTGTAAGGCGTGTGAACACGCGAGGTGCCAGGTTCAACCCGAACGGGAGACAACGAAAGCGGTAACTCAGACGCCCCACTACAAAACCGAGCCAGTCCCTGAACCGCGGATGAATCGGGACATGCCAATAAGCGTCCCGGAGGTCCAGGGACACCATCCAAGCACCCGGCTCCAAGAGGAGCCGAACCTGAGACAGCGTAGTCATCCGAAAGGAGGGGCAATGAACCCAGGGGTTCAGACGGGACAAGTCCAGAATGAACCGCAGGTCCGCGCAGTCCCGTTTCGGAACCGGAAACAGACGGGAAACCCATCTGAGGGACGACGTCGTTTCGACGACGCCCAAGCGTACCCACTCCAAGACGACTCGACAGAGCGCAGGGGAAGAAGCCTGCCCCGCCAGCCCCGACCCCCCAAAGGGGGGAGGGGCCACCCAACGCCACCGCAGGCCGCGAGACACGACCCGAAAGGCCCACGAATCGTGGGACCAGGCGCGGGCGAACAGCGCAAGCCGCCCCCCCATCGCCCCGTCAAAGGGGCAAACCGCGAAAGGGCCGGCGACCCTTACGAGACCCAGAACCCCGCACAGCGCGAACACCGCGCCGACCAGACGAGGGAGGGTCCGCAGGAGGAGCCAACCCCAAACCTGACACCAGAGGCCTACCACGACGAGAGGAACCCCGAGCCCTGGCACGACCTTTCCGGGAAGACCCACCCCGGGACCCCCGGAAAACCAACAAGTCCGACATCGGACGACAAGCCGCCGACGCAGCCTGAATAAACTGCGCCACGGCCGACTCCCCAAACAGGAGAGGACAAAAAGGGGAAGAACGCCTAAGAGCCAGAGCCCAAGCAGATTCCACGGAGGAACCCAGCACCGCCTGCCGACACGCGAGACGGGAAGCATAGAACAGGGAAACCGCATCCCGCAAAATCGGCGTGAACAGCTTCAACAAGGCAGCCGACGAACGCGCAGCCGAGGACAAGGTGCCGGACCCCGGGACGGACCCAAGCGTCCCCACATCCTCCACGAGCCAATCCGAAGACAGCTCCAGGAGGGAAAAGAACCGTAAGGCCGAACACAAAAGGCCCCGAGCGCGCAAGTCCTCCGCCACGAGCGCCGCCGAAAGGGAGGGAACCTGCACATGGAGCTGAATAACGCCCACATCGCGGGGAAGGGCAGGGGCAAACAAGCACTCATTCAGGTACTCAAGTTCACCCCCCAGGAAAACCTGAAGCACCGTGGAAGCTTCCCGCCACTCCAGCGTGCGGGAACGACAGAAGGAATGCCAGGAATCCAGACCAAACAAGGGGCAGTCTGCTAGCCAGGATGACTCCGGAACCTCGTAACGGAGCCAGAAAGGGAACGAAGTCCCAAACCTGAACGTGGACGGATCCATTTCCGAGGCATAATCCGGGTCACGCAGGAGGTAAGCTGCAAAGGCCGCTCGCACCACACCAGGTTGGATGCGATAAGCCGAAAACCTCCGGAAGGACGGAACCGACGTACCTGGGGGAACACGGAACCGTACCCGGGGAGGGGCCGACACCAAATCCAACTCGTACGCAGAGGGGGGGAAAGAAAACCCCACTCCTTGTAACAATAAGCCCCGCTCAGTGGGAAGAAAAACCCAGGCGGGGTCCAGCGGGGCCCAAGGCCCCCAAGTCAGCCCCTCCCCAGCCTCGAGGTCCGTCACCACAGGACCCGAGGCCGAGTCCTCTCCCCAAGCCCCGACCCCACAAGACAAGGACGGAGCAGCCGGAAAAGCTGGAGGAAGGGGGGCCCACTGGTCAGACCCTGAAGCTTCGGCCGGGAGACAAGACTCGAATGCCTCTGCCGCCCCCCCGGAAGGGGCAACCCCCGAAGCTGCCCGAGTCTCGAGATCAAGTAACCCCTGCTCCGACCCCGAAACCCTCAGACGCTTCGGGGCCGGAAGCAGGGGCGGGGGACCAGAACGAACAGAAGGGGAAGGACGAGGAGGTGCGGACTGAACCAGGATCGAAGCGACCCCCACCCCCAAGTCCGGGTCTCGAAAAGCAAAGCGGGGCAGCCCCGGGGCATCCGGGGAAGCAACCAACCGAGCGCGTTGCAACAGACGAAACCTAGACTGCAACGCACGTGCCGCCTGTACCCGAATAGAATCATCAGAGGATTGGGTAAATTGAGTCACAAGCAAGCAGCAACACTCACAGGACTCAGGGTCGAAAGTATCACCGACCCAACAGGCAGCGTGGCAGAGGCAAAAACAATGAGGGTCACCCTGAGACAAGGGGACCGAGCAACCCTCAAACTCGCACACAGCGAGTGGGGACTCCGGGGTCACATCCATCGGACCCACGCGCCCCCTAGGGGATTCCCAGGGTCCTGAGCGTTTACTTTAAGAGGACTCGCGCTCAGGTAGTCCCAGGCAGGGTGCTGCAAACCGGCGCCCAAAACTACCAAGCAAACTTCTAAAGCTGAACCCCAGGGACGTGTACACTCACGGGGACCTAGCAGGGGGCGCCACCGAGGAGAACAGTGGAAGGGCAAAAACAAACTGAATAAAATGACAGAACCCCCCACCAGGCAAAAACAAAAAGAAAAGCAAAACCCCGCAAGAGGACAGCGAACCCCAAGGAACAGAGCCGGCCGCGATGTCGGGAATTACAAGCTGAGCAGCACCCTGCGCCCCTACCAGTGCAAACTGCCTCTTACCTGCCGGTAACAAGGGAGAACAGAACACCCAAGAGCCCAACAGGCGGCCGAAAAACCGAAAGGTAAAACGGACCAGCAGAGGCAGACCCCGAGGAGCCTGTGGAAGGTGGCCCCAAGCCCCAAGGGCAGTACTTACAGGGCACCTAGGGAAGGCAGCCCTAGGCGCATGCAGCCCGAGTACTGAAGATAACTCCTGGCTCTCGCACCCACAAAACTAACACCACACTCAAAGCACAGTGCAGTAGCGACACCGGAGCCAGAGCACACGACCATCGCCTATAGCATCAGCCTCAAGAACTGAGGTGTGGGTAGCCGGCGCGGGGGGTCTGGGGCTCCCCCTTCCCCCTCCCGGGGAGGGGGGAGCTGCGCAGACAGCGGCGCGGCAGTGTGTGACGTCACACTAATTTGCTTGTTTTCGGTTGGGGAGTTCTATCCACTAGTTCGGTATTAGGTAGCAATTTTAACCAGAATAGGGGTTTGTTTTGGGGCGCTTACCTTTCTGGGTGCCTGTTCCGGTCGATGGCAGACATAGAATGCTTCCAACTACACGGGGGCTTCTATAGGCCATTGCTCCCCTTGCCTCTCTGAGGGGGCCCGGTTCTGGCCGTGGTCCCCGGTAGGCCTAAGAACTCCATACACATGACTGATGCCAAAGTCTGACATTAGCATATCAGCCTGGGATAGCTCCGGGGAGCCGACGGGGCTCCCCCCAGAAAACTTTTCAAAATACAGTACTGTACCTGGTACTATATTAATTTTCTACTTAACCCATAAAATCACAAAATTCTAAAAGCCAGAGTGTGTCAAGCAGTTTAAAACCTCACCTGAGTCTTAAGATGTGCTACCTCTGCCGATGGTTCGTCCCACAGCTCCTGAGGGATTCCAAGGTCAACCTTCACACCTTTGTTTCTATAATAACAAAACAATAATTCTGAGTATTGTTATTAATAAAGTACATTTTCCCCATAAACACCTGTACACAAATTGTCAAAGAAAGCCTTTTGCTCAAAATGATAAGAGATATGTAACAGGATAAGGTACAGTAATTATCAGGAAAGTGCACTAAGCCAATTTAGTGCACTGATTATAATACAGAGCACTTAGAAGGAATATTAGGATAAGGATTTGGGATGGGACGGAGGAAAAGAATGGTGCCAAACCACTTGAACTGTTGGGTATTGAACACCAACCTGCAAGTATCGAGACCATAACTCTACCGTCCAGTCCAAGTGATTGGGCATAGTGGAATCTCCCTTCATTGGACTAACTGGGACAGTCATCTGGAGTATAAATATTTTGTTTTGTTTTTACAAATTTTTTTAGTACAAAATATACACAAAATATAATTCAGCCAAGCAAATGATATAAAAATATTAACAAATGTTAAGTGCACTATCAAAATCACATTTTGGGACACTTTTGCCTCCATACATATTAAGCCATAGGCATTCAATAATAATGTACTGTACACCAAAACACACTGGGCTGGATGGCTGTGTCATAAGCCTGTCAGGTATACATCCTTTAACCCTTAAACTGCACAACACGTCATATGAAGGGTTGATTAACTTGCAATAAATTGCACATCGCGTCATATGATGCAATGGAGTACTACGCAAGATTTAAACGGCCCGCGGACACACGGGGTTCATCTCACCTTCATCAGGGCTCTTGTAAACAGACGCTACCTGGTTGATACCTTGGTTGATGGGGTTCTGGGAGTTCTTCTACTCCCCAAGCCCGGCCCGAGGCCAGACTTGACTTGTGAGAGTTTGCTCCACCAGGCTGTTGCTTGGAGCAGCCCGCAGGCCCACATACCCACCACAGTCCACCACACTATTTAAAAAAAAAATCGTGGGCCACATTCCCGGGAGTTAGGGCCTCAGTACTGAGTGAGCCATCAAGGCTGGCGCACGTAGCATGAGCTCACAGCACTGCTGTTCAGCTTGTGACCACAGCATTGCCTAAAAATGCCATAATATATATGTTCATGCTGTTATTTAGTGATGATAGTATTACAGAAGACCCCTGACTGTGATAAAATTTACCAGGATTCTGATAATAGCAGGATTGTTGTGATAATTAGCGCTGTAGTGGGAGGAGTAATCTTGGTGGGGAGGGAGGTAGCGTTGTCTGCTGACTGTGTGACCACCTTTTACTGTCTGGACTCACTATACCAGTTTAGTTGTTCACTATGGTGAACAAAACATGCAGATACCTATATACTGTATAATGTATATATACTTATATACGTCTGTATATAAAAGAAAAAACAGTATGGTGGAAGGAGAATGGTGGTGAGTCAGGTGAGGTGAGGGAGGGAGGGAGGAAGTGACAGCCAGTGGCGGGCTGCCACTGCCACTCAGCATACCAACTTAGTGGTTCGTTATGGTGAACACAAATGTAGATACTTATATATAACATATATATATATAGTGTAATAACAGCAAAATGAGTGTGGAGAAGCCATTTTGGTGAGGGAGGTGGCAACGTCTGCATGATTTGTCATGTTGGTAGGGGTGGCCACTATGCTCTTTGGGTACTATACCAGCTTAGTTGAACAATTATGGTGAACAAAACATGTAAATACTTATATATATGTGTGTATATAGGGTAACAACACCACAAACAGTATTGTTGGAGAGAAATTTTAGTGTGTCTGACCTTGAATGAGTGAGGGAGGCAGCCGCCAGCTGACTGTGTGTAGCGACGTCTCTTAGTGCCTGAACTAACTATATCAGCTTAGTTGTACAGTTGTGTTGAACAAAACATGTAGATACTTATATATAATGTCTGTATATAGTGAATAAAAGCAAAAACAGTATGGTGGAAGGAGAATGTGGGCGAGTGAGGTGTTGAGGGAGTGAGCGGCAGCAAGTGGCTAACTGGTGTGTGGCGGTCACTCCTTGTTGCTTTTTGATTCATAGTACTAACTTAGTGGTTCGTTATGGTGAACAAAACATACAGATACTTATATATAACCTGTGTATATAGTGTAATAACCGACAAAGTATTTGTTTACTGTTTGATGAACATAATTGAATCACTAATATGCACACCATAATTTTGAGTACAGCGATGATTCACACATTTTATTATATAAATATATCACACTACACACTACTGAATAACATTACAGCAAAAAAAACGAAGAAAAATCAATCAGAGACATTGAAATAATTAGGTAATTATCTCTTTGTGGCCACTCCTGCCTGACAGCTGGGGCGGAGCAGACCGCCTGGGACGCATGATGAGTCAGCGCCTGTTTTTTTTGCCACACTTCCCTGCCCTATAGCGGGCAAAATATGCCACTTACAATTTTTTTATTTTTTTCCCATGATCAGAGAACACAAATTAACAGGTTTAGAAGAAAAAAATAATTTTTGTTTGTTATGCACCTGTGGGTGACAATGGCCAAATAGCCCATAGCAACACAAGGGTTAAAGCATTGCCTAGCAACATTGAACAAGTTCAGAGGGTGAAGTACCTGTAATTCTGTGAGGCAGAGTCTGATATAATGACATAGGCAAACATAAATGTCTTTCATTGCAAATATAAAGAAATTAAAACTATAAACTACTGCATTAGATACAAAAATGAAATTATACACATTATATAATGTGTACATACCATGCAGTATATGGTATTGCTCAAATGCCAACATTTCAAGATATCTAATTATTCAACACTTACACAAGATTGTGAAGAGTTTGGAAGGTTTGGCTCATCTTTTTGGCCCATCGTGTGGAATCTGATCGCTCCTTATGAACCCGATAGTCGAGCATACCATCACACACTTCCTCCAGCGTTTCCACCAGCCTTAGTTCTCTGTGTACATAATAACCATCAGAAACATTGAGAGGAACGAGTCTATTCCTTCTAGATCATTTACATATTTATGATCATTTACATCAGAAATCGTGTGAGTACAGTTGTTCCTCCTGCCACCCAGTTGTAAAGACAGACATTACTCTACAGTAATATGAATAGGATACAATGACAAATTACACTAAAGGTATTAATAGTCATTATAACGACTAATGATTATAAAAAAGACAAGTGATTTTTTCTACTTACGATTTATTATATTTAGTTTTTTTCTTCTTGGCATCTATATTATATCCCGTTTCTATTACTCCAGATGAACCTTTTGATTCTAGCCTCTCATTAACTTCCTTGGCCACCAGTTTACACACTGAAAACATGAACAAAATAAATTAAAATGCCATGCAAATATACACATGTCTTACCTGGTTGATACATGGTTGATACTGTTAAAACACTGTTAAACTAAGAACATTAAATGAATTAATAAAAGGACACTGAATTGCCATCAAAATGAAAATTACATTAACATTTCCAAGAAAATCTCTATACAGTATTGGAAAAGCAGATACAAGGGTACCTCGGTTTAAAAATTTAATCTGTTCCTGGAGACGGTTCATAAACCGAAGCGAATTTCCCCATAAAAAATAATGGGAAATGAATTAATCCATTCCCGACTCCCCAAAAACTTCACTTCAAAGTAAATTTTATACCTAATTCACCCAAATCTTCACTACAAAAGTATGTTCAAGTCATTACTTACCCTTGCTGATGACTCCTGTTGGTGTATGGAAGATGGTGAAGAGGGGGGAAGGAGGAGAGGTGTTACTGTTTGGAAAAGGAGTTCCCTTCCATTATAACATCAGGCAGTGAAGATTTCTCTGGAGTGCAATCTCTGACACGTTTTGCCTGCATACCACTAGGTCCTGGTTGTGGCTCACTGCTTTATTTTCTCAAGGAAACGTTCCATTGAAGATTGTTTTTCCCTTCTTTGCAACACGTCTGTAGTGAGGCATCACATTGTTATTGAAAAGATTAATGAAACGGCCTAATACAGCTTTATCTGGGCAATTCTTTTCAGCAAAACTTTGCAGTTCTTCCCATACTGCACACATTTTCTTAATTAATGAGGAAGGGACATCCTCTACTGCCTCCTCCCTTGAAGATTTGTTATACTGCCTAACTAGTTCAACAACACGTGTACCGTTTTCATGTTTACAAATGATCTCTTGTTTTTCCTCTATGGTCATTCTCACATGTGATTTCTTGCCTTGAATCTTACTACTCGCTTTCTTGGGACCCATGGTGAGATATATAATAACAAATTTTATGCTCAATAGCAAAAAAATCCAAAAAGAAACAAAATCCTTGCAAAGAATTCAGGTGGGATAGTCACTGGGTGTGAGGCACTGATAAACTGATGCGCGATCGCCATGTCACCATGCGCTAAGTTGGCTGTACGCATATCAACAAACTCGTATCCCGAGGTAAAGTTCGTATCCCGTTTCACATTTTCCGAACAAATCGGGCTTGTAACCCGAAAAGTTCGTAAACAGGGACGTTCGTAAAACGAGGTACCACTGTACATAAATAATAACACTATACAGTATGCACAGACACTAAAATATGATACAATAACCTGTAATTTTGATAAAAAAATTAAGGTGAAGTCAGAAACAGATATGGTGAAGTTTTGCCAGAAAAATATTTGGACAAGATTTTAGCCACATAACCCATATATCTGATATAGCAGAATTCGGATGAGCAAGTGCATACAGTAATGCACTTTTGAAAGAGAGTTTTTGATGAAAGTTGGAATTAACTAATAACCGATTACAACCCTGATAACAAAAAATTATTTCCTTTTAAAATAAACTTGCAAACACTAGACTTGCGGAAATATGGCACCACCACATTGCATAATTACATTTGAAAACAATATAGAAAGGGAAGGGAATTATCAGGAGAAAGTTCCAAGCCTACAGCAATTGGAAGAGATCAGGATAAGGATTTGGGATAGGACGGTGGGATGGGACGGTGGGAAGGAATGGTGCCCAACCACTTGGACGGTTGGGGACTGAATGCTGATCTGCATGAAGTGAGACAACAACGCTGTAAGGTATACTTAATGTAACCACATTCTTCACTGAAGTACAAGAAGCAGGCAGTTGGTGGCACCAGAGGTTTTTCTGATGTATCTTATCTAAATTTGTTGATTTCTGTTTTAGTTCATTTGCAGGACTGCACTTACCTTCACAATCGGTAGCAAATTTGACGCCATAATCCTCTTCCTCGATGTTCCTGCCACAGCTGGCCACCTGTACCAGGGTTGTCGCTACCACTACCACCACACACACCCGCACCTCCATCACCTCTCCTTCACACTTCCTTGTGTTTGATGCCCGCTGTTACAAGCCAACTGGAATTCTTAAATCATTCGTTTTTTACCAGGCATATGTAGCTTTCGTGATTTTTCTCTCGGTGACTGTTGCTCGTTTCTTGGTGTTCATCAAGATTGGCTGCAGTCTGAAATTAGGTTTGGTGTGGGAACCTAGCGAAACTTGCTGCTGTTAATAATTTAGGGTTCGTCTTCACTACGTACAAGACTATTTACCCCTTCTTTATGATACGTGCAGTTTGTTTACGTGAAGATTTTCTCCCGGTGACTGAGCAATTGGTTGTGAGACGCGTCAACCCCAGCACAATGCCAAAGATAGTGTTGTGATGACGTCACATGATCGGTTATAATGCTGTGTCAGTGTTCGGGTTTTCTATACTTATAATAATGTTTATTTAGGGAAAAATACATATATACAAAATGAGTTACAAGCAGAATGTTAGATTTTTAGGTAGAGTGATAAAAATCATCCCAGAACTAAATCAACTCTTTAACTAGGAATGATTGAGGGCCACAGAACTAGCAACACTGCAGACCAGACGTGACAGGACTCACCCCGTCGCGGTCCATAGAATTACCCAAATCGGCCCAAATCGGCCCAAAACTACACAAATCGTCCTAGCATTACGTAAGTAATGAAGAAATATGGTATATTTACTTACTATACGTGGCTGAAATATGTTGACCAAACCACACACTAGAAAGTGAAGGGACGACAACGTTTCGGTCCGTTCTGGACCATTCTCAAGTCGATTGTGAGAATGTACAATTGACTCGAGAATGGTCCAGGACGGACCGAAACGTCGTCGTCCCTTCACTTTCTAGTGTGTGGTTTGGTCAACAAATACCTCACATAACCAGACAAACACCCTCCTAACTCTATCAAGCACACTGAGAGCCGTACCAAAGTAGGGAGGGTCCATAGACGAGAACGTGGTTGTAAGTATAGGTCCACAGACATGGGAACCAGTGCCCATCATCTGGGTTGGAGGGCAACAGTGCATTGCTTTGCTTAGAGAGTATAATGCTGCTAACACAGCCCTGCCTTCAATATGCAAACTTTTCAGGATTATTTAATTAGCTAAGATTTACCTGAATTTACAATAGGCTGACTGAGTATACTAAGATTCAGGTTTACAGAGCCTGTGTCCTGAGCAATCTCCTTTATGGCAGTGAGTCTTGGACACTCCGCGCCCGTCAGGAAAGACAGCTGAATGCCTACCACATGCGCTGCCTTCGACACATCTTGGACATCACCTGGCAGGACAAGGTGACAAACATCAACGTCTTGGGGAGAGCAAGAATCAACAGCATGTACACAATGCTGAAACAGAGACGAATGCGCTGGCTCGGGCACGTTGTGCGAATGGGCGACGGCAGGATCCCCAAGGATCTCCTGTACGGAGAGCTGATGCAGGGAAAGCGTCCAACAGGCAAGCCCCGGCTGCGGTACAAAGACGTATGCAAGAGGGACCTGAAAGCCATGGACGTCGATCTTGCTATGATACCTGGTTGATGGGGTTCTGGGATTTCTTCTACTCCCCAAGTCCGGCCCGAGGCCAGGCTCGACTTGTGAGAGTTTGGTCCACCAGGCTGTTGCTCGAAGCGGCCCGCAGGCCCACATACCCGCCACAGCCCGGTTGGTTCGGCACTCCTTGAAGGAAACAATCTAGTTTCCTTTTGAAGATGTCCACGGTTGTTCCTGTAATATTTCTGATGCTCGCTGGTAGGACGTTGAACAACCGTGGACCTCTGATGTTCATACAGTGTTCTCTGATTGTGCCTATGGCACCTCTGCTCTTCACTTGTTCTATTCTGCATTTTCTTCCATGTCGTTCACTCCAGTACGTTGTTATTTTACTGTGCAGATTTGTCCCTCCAGTATTTTCCACGTGTATATTATTTGGTATCTCTCTCGTCTCCTTTCTAGTGAGTACATTTGGAGAGCTTTGAGACGATCCCAATAATTTAGGTGCTTTATCTCGTCTATGCGTACCGTATATGTTCTCTGTATTCCCTCATATGGCTATGTGGGAGACACTGGCTGCAGACCGTTCAGCCTGGGGGGGTAGTCTGTTCAAAGAGGTCTCTCCAAGTTCGAGGAGTCACTTGCCAAGGAATCGGAGGCAAAGAGACAGAGAAGGAAAGCCGGTAGCCAGGAAGACAGACCAGAATCGGACTTCGTTTGTGCTCGGTGTGGGATGGACTGCCACTCTCGGATTGGCCTCATCAGTCACACCAGACGCTGCACCAGGATTGACAACTAGGGCGCAACTCCATAGTCTCCCGAGACTGAAGGATGCCTAGCTACTACTACTACCTGAATTTAACAGAGGGTCACTATCTCTCAGTGAGGATAGGAAGCCGGCGGCTTGTCAAATGTCCCCTATTTGCCCTGGTGATTTTATCGAGCAATGTTTTATCATTTACGGCTTCGTCGGGAAGGTGGTTCCATAGTTCCCCTGAATTTACTCGAGGGTGGCCCTCGGGTAAATTCAGGTATCTCTCTCTAGCGGTCTCGACGAGGACAGGAAGGTTGTCTGGCTTGTCGAAGGCCCAGCTCCCATTTATTTTGGGGCCGAACAAATGCCAATGTTTTGGCATTTACGGCTTCGGCGGGTATGCGTTTCCGCCAAGGTTATAAATTAACCATCGTAATGTGAACCGAAAATATAAATGAAAATACATACATTGATTTCAGTACTGTAATATACCAGTTATTTGAGAGTTGAGAAGCGGGACCAAGAAATGCAGAATCTCAATAACCGAAAGAACAATTAGGTTGTACTGAAATTAACGTGGTGATTTATATAGTCTGTAAACAAGTACTATATCTATAAAATATAAAACTTATTTTAATTATCCTGCACTTCAAGAGATCACAAGCATTCTTACTCTCATTTATTTTTGTAGCAGAAATGTTTTGTCTATATTTATTTAATGGAAATTAGTGGTGTTTGAGCAAGCTAATCAACGTCAAAAATGTTTACATTGTTGTTCTTCATCTGTAGTACTGAGCTCTACACATATGGGTGGCCTCGTAGCCTGGTGGATAGCGCGCAGGATTCGTAATTCTGTGGCGTGGGTTCGATTCCCGCACGAGGCAGAAACAAATGGGCAAAGTTTCTTTCACCCTGAATGCCCCTGTTACCTAGCAGTAAATAGGTACCTGGGAGTTAGTCAGCTGTCACGGGCTGCTTCCTGGTGTGGGAAAAAAAAATAGTTAGTAAACAGTTGATTGACAGTTGAGAGGCGGGCCGAAAGAGCAAAGCTCAACCCCCGTAAAAACACAACTAGTATATGGGTAGCTTTGCCGCAGGCTGTTTACTGCTCTGAGAAATAAACATAAATCCATATGCCTGGAGCCCGCGGTGCCCGGCGCCTTGCTGTGGGAAGTCAGAGATGTTTATGATTCTGGTCTAGGAATACCGTGGGATTTCACCAAAATAAAACAAGTTGACAGAACCATTATTATTGTTCACTATGATGAAGTTGCACACTTAATGCCTGTATATATATTTTGCTTGTATGTACTCGATTGCGTAAAATATGGGATTAATGTATATTTAAGCTGTGAGTGAATGTCCACTTGGTTGTCAACAATATTTTCATTTAGTTGTTTAAGTGTTGGGTTGAGCTAAATTATTACACCATCTATAGATCATCCAACAAAATCAGCACATTCCTAGATGTTACTACTGCTCGGCTTAGACGCGACTATAAGTATCTCAGAGAATTTTCATTATCTGCTGATGTAGACCTGACCAAATGTAAACTGTCAAAAAAATTATTCGCACTATTATAAATTATTCGAAAAGATACGTAAATTAAAAGACAATTCTTTACCAAACGTTCAATAAATTTGTAAACGTTTTGTTCAAAATGGACTCGGTAAGAGATGCCGCAGTTTCGCATGATTACTAAATTGTCCTGGTTTCTAGACCAGAAATAAATACAGTTTTGATATTCCTAGAGTACGACTTAATCAAACTAGAAATGCTCTACAAATCAAGGGGCCCAGAATGTGGAATGACCTTCCCAACCATGTTAAAGACTGTACCTCTCTCAACCAGTTTAAGTTAAAAGCGAAGCTATACCTAATAAATTCCCTGTAACCTACCTTACCCTTCTATTGTCAACCAATGTCTGTTTTTTTCTTTAAAGAGCGCTGTTTGTCGACATAATTGTATTTGTGCTGCTTTTTCATCTATGTTTTCATTTCTTGTTTTCATTCTACTCATTATGCTCAATTAGTATTAAGCTTGTCATTTAAGTTTATCATGCCCGAAACGCTTTGCGTAATAGTGGCTTTAGGCATTGTATGTACTAGCTATACCTATAAGTTAAACAATCCTTGTAAATATTTATTGTATGTATGTACCTTACCTAAATAAAATTGTATTGTATTGTATTGAACTGTGAGCATGGGTCTGAGGAAAAACTGTCCTTACTCTGAATACCGCAACGTCTGTGCTTATATGAATATATGTCACATACACATATTTATAACACACATTTAATTTGTATCTAGTTCTTTATTGTTAACTTACATACTCAAAGAACCTTGCAACATCTACATTCGAGGAAGGATTCCAGAAGCAGTTAACAACTGCCATTTCTTGTTTCTGGAATTCTTCTTTATGCTGTAGGTAAAGTAGTTAATAGAACTACTGTCTCCTGCTCCTGGGGTTGGTGGTTCGAGACTACTTGTGCCCAGGGTGAATGTGGAGATCAGTAGTTCGACCTTGGAGGTGGACCTCGATATACACCTAACGAATAGACATGCACAAGCTGCCTGTCCTCAGTGTATATTTTACACACACACACACACACACACACACACACACACACACACACACACACACACACACACACACACACACACACACACACACACACACACACACACACACTCTCCCTCTCATAAGGGAGGTGGTGGCCGAGTGGACAGCGCTCTAGACTCGTGGACCTAGGGAGTAAATGTTACTCCTACTGCTATGTAACAAGATTTTGTTGGTACATTTTCATGTAAATTCACAACTCTTCGCGCCGGAAACAAGTCATGAGAGAGCCACACAATAATTTTCGGATCTAACCTTCATTCTTTCTTAATGTGTTGTATACAATGAAATGATTATACATTGCTCTGTTGTGAACATTGTATACAGTACCTCAAGATATAAATCCCACACCAGTTAACTAGCTCCCAGATACCTAATTAATTCCCTACTCTCTGTAAATGTTAATGTGATGTAACCGAGCAGTATATGGCCGTATATAGTATATAGTATATTTGTTGACTTACTGCGGGGCACACGGGCCACAGGGATAAGAGCCTCGTTGGACGTAGAATCACTGTTCACCAACGTACCTGTGGACGAGACAATCGGGATGATAGCCGACAGTGTATCGTGATCCAGCCTGTACTCCTCTTGACATACCAGAAAATATCCTAAGGAAACTACTCCAAGCTTGCACTAAAGAGGCACCCTTCTTGAGCCCGGATGGGCACATGTATAAGCAAGTAGATGGTGTCGCCATGGGTTCTCCCCTAGGTGTCCTGTTTGCAAACTTCTACATGGGTACCATCGAGCAAAAAGTCTTAGTCGACATGAACTTGAAACCGGCCATATACTGCAGGTATGTTGACGACATTTTTACACAGGTACCTGATGTCAGACATCTGCAGGAGCTGAAGGAGGCGTTTGAGCAGAGTTCCGTGCTGCGTTTCACTTACGAGATGGAAAAGGATGGGAAGCTGCCCTTTCTAGATGTAACAGTCATGGAAAAGAGCGGAGGTTTCCACACTGCAGTCTACACTAAGGAAACGAACATAGGAATGTGCCTAAATGCCAACAGCGACTGCCCAGACAGGTACAAGAGGAGTGTTGTGAACGCATATGTCGACCGTGCTCTCAGCCACAGCTCAGAATGGAAGCAAGTCGACGAAGAACTCTGTAGGGTAAGGCAGGTCCTAGTCAACAACGGCTTCTCCAATGGTTTCGTCGAAGACATCATAAGAAGGAAAGTGAAACGCCATGCAACCTCTGAAGACACAACTAACACAACACCTATACCCCCTATTAGACTATTTTACAGGAACTTCTTTTCCACAGCTCATAAAACGGAGGAAAGGGTCCTGAAAGATATTGTTAATAGAAACGTTATCCCTACAGACAAAAATCAGAGGATACAACTGACGATTTACTATAAAACCAGAAAAACGGCCAGCCTACTCATGAGAAACTCTCCAGACACAAAGCAGAACGCTTTAAAAGAGACCAACGTCGTCTATGCCTTCAAATGCCCTTTTGGGGACTGTAAGCTCCAAAAAACCCAGTATATAGGCAAGACAACAACATCTCTTTCTAGGCGTTTAACGATGCATAAGCAACAGGGCTCCATTAAGGAACATATAATCTCTTCCCACAACCAAACCATCGCCAGAGAAATCCTAGTAAACAACACAGAAATCATCGATAGATACAGCGATAGCAGGCGGCTTGACGTTTGCGAGGCACTACACATTAAAAAGTCAACACCAGCAATCAACAGCCAATTAATGCACAACTATATTCTACCCACCTCAAGACTCCGCTCCAATATAGAAGCATCAAGAAATATGGACCAATAGGCTTTCTACAATCACTTCCATTCAATACCCAATGTTCTGTCTTGTGTTGATGAAATTAATACCCTATTAATACCACCTCACCCCATCCACCTCACTCAAATGTAGATATTAACAAATCGGAGATGTGTAAGTTATATTCAGTTGTGTATGTGTAAACTAAAGTCTTTGAAAATGTAATAAGTTTTACGAAACGCGCTCAAGTGTCGCGTCAGACTAGAAATAAAAATGAATTTTGGAGAATTGATTTTTGAATTACCACCAACAGTGAAAAGAAATGTACGAAAGATCGAGAAAATTCGTGTTAGAATTATTAATCTTACTTTTTCGGTCATATTTAATAATATATGTCTACAGGAAAGACTGCTAATAAAATATACTAATATATATATATATATATATATATATATATATATATATATATATATATATATATATATATATATATATATAACATTAATAATTTTGTAACTAGCGTTAAAAATTTTTATTTGCTTAGCTATACGAACTAGAGGGTTCAGTTCCTGAACCGATTATGTGCCTCTTTAATCCTTTACACCACCGCCCACGGGCTGTTGATTGCTGGTGATGGGTGCATAATAAAGAAAGACATTGAATTGAATCTAGGGATATTAAAGATTACATCCATCAATGAAGAGTTTCAGCTCTGGATTAGTATTTAGGAACAAAATTTTGTACGTGTAAGTAGTACAAGAGAATGTCACACATTCCACACATTCCCCAAGAGGATGTGTGAAGTGAGTGTATTTTCACCGTGTTTAGGGATTTAAACAGAGGGGCTGAAATGAATGAATGCCTACAGTGTTGTTAAGGTTGCGCTCTGTATAGCCAGTTCTTCATATCCTTCATATAAAGCAGGGTAGCAGCACGCTGCTGTGTAATATCTAAGTTTGTTAATTAAAAAAGAAACAAATTCCCGAACCATTCTAGAAATAATTAATTGTTACGTTTTAAACTGGCGTTACCTTGATTTACCTGCTTTAAATGATAGATTCGTGTTAGTGCCTTTACCATAATATAATTTCCATACCAGTATCATTATATATAACCCCTTTATTACGTTCTTCAAAGTATTTGAAACCAAGGAAAGCCAGAAATAAAGGAATGTTGAGGGCTTATATGGCCAATATTTACCACAAGTGGCAACTGGCGCAGAGCGCGGGAAATCTTAGCTTGACGGCGGCCACCTCCTGCTTCTCTCTCCCTGCTGCTGCGTCTCCTGCTGTAGCTGTCCCGCCCCTCACGCCTCTCCTCCACAACCACCACACACCCCAGGCTCCCCACCAACCGCTAAGGCTGCTGGTTAAGGTACGCGGCCGGTGCTAATGCTGGTGAATGTGGTGGACATCACAGGTGGTTGGTCCAAGATGGAGACGATGGCTGGCAGGCAATTCTTGGGCTCTTTAATTTTAATGGAGTTTGGTGGGGGGAGGGGTCAAAAGTGAAGGTGTTGGGGTCACGGGTCTACTGTGGAGGTCAATGGATTGTCTAGGTGTAGCTTGTCAATTACCATTAATGTGTTTTGACACAGGGTTAGAGTTACAGGTGCTGTACTGTTCGTCAGTTATTCAACACTTGCAACAATGTAATAATGGGTTATACAATAAGCGTTGATGTGTAAATTACAATCGTGCAAAGTCACTATTAGGTATAACATTTGTTGTAGCAATGGAGTAAAATTAGTTTAACTTATTATAGAGCTTAGTAGGAAGGTTAAGTCACATTATTGACTCGGGGGCGAAACGCTCAATTTTGTATAAGGCAAAGGGATGGTTTTTGGTTAACAAGTTGTAGTTTTAATTTACTTTATATATGTGGACAAAGTTAAAAGGGTACAGATTAAATTGCACTAAAAGTAAAATAAATGTTTAAGTGATGTGCGGTGATGCCACACCAGCACATACACAAGGAAGGATCATGTGGTTTAGAATGTGATTTAGAATTTAGAAATAAATAAATAAATAAATAAAATTATCCACTGTTGTTAGCAATAGGCTTCTCAAAAAGATACTAATTCAGTAATGTTTATTAATTCACTTGTACCATTTATATTGTAAAACCACTGGAGAATGATGTAACACCACTATAATGGATCCTAAACTAATAATGTAAACACTACTTATCCTGAGTAACACTTCCCCCATCGGTTGCACTTGGTAACACTGTTATGAGCTGAGTAACCGGAACTAAAAGGTACACTGCCAACAAGGAAATGCTAAACAGGATTAAATACGCTGCCACCATCTGCCTTTGACCATTGAGACTATATCAAGCAACGAGGCAAGAAACATTGCTTGACTTGGAGAGTACCTTCTATGACTGTCATTAATTATGAATACGGTTGTCAGCCACTATATCCAAAAGGCTAAGAGGATTCAACAATTGACACAGATGGGAAATTTAACATGAGTTTATTGAGACCAAAATTATGTCAATCACCACTTATAAATCCTACTCTAACACTGGCAAAAATTTAAGAAATTTGGACATGGAACAAAACCTCAGAGATCACACACATTACCTTAAGACCTCTGTCTCTCCCTGGCTGAGATGTTCTTCACAGACCCGCTCTCGATCCTGGTGTCCTGCACTCCTCTTCCTAAGTCCCTACAGGACCTCTATATACAACCCCCACAGGGGGGGGGGGGGAGATCTGCTGTTGCTACCTACACCAAGAATGTAAGAGATCGGCGACACGTGTACAAACACACAAGAATTTTCATTAAACTTGTTTGACGTTCACCATACACTCTTCAAGAGAGGAGTTATTAATTACGCGTGTGACTGACCTCTGACCTGGCCAAAAGGGGGAGATCCATGGATGTTTACACACATAAGAATCTGGAGTCTAATTCCCTTGCAATGTTTGACAAGAGTACAGTATCATGAAATATTACATACTTGAAACTATGCTGACTAAGACTAACCCAGGAATTTTTTAATCAACCTACAAGATAATCCGGAGGTCATCTGGGCTGACCTCTTGGAGAAGGCTTCCCTGGGTGTGAACTCTAAGGGGGGGGGGGGGAAGGTCATGGGTGTTACAATATTATGAGTTCATAAAACTTAAATACTTTTTTCTATTTTCATTTTAAAGTAAAAAGTGCAGTTAGCTGGGAATTATATATATATACAATACCATATTTCTTGTAGATTGGTTATAATAATTATAACAATAATAAATTTTATTAGGGTTGAAGGAAGGTTGCGGGAAGCGTCCATCATGTTGCGTGCTCAAGACCTCAGTGACTATGAACTCCTGCGCGAGAAAAATATTCAAGACAGGCAGCAGTTGGTGAGTTAGATATACTTCTCTCCTTGTGTAATAAACATACGCAAGAGTATGATAATGTGATTTAAGGTTTCCATGGTTGTTCAGTGTATGTATGGATTGAATCACAGGGGAAGGAGTTTTTTTTTTTTTTTTTTTTTCCCTATACAGTTCCAGTATTGATCTATTGTCCTCTGATACCTCTTCACACCATTAAATTTGGGAAATAAGGAGTGTCTTGATTTGGCTTTTCTTGGTTGGGTGACAGGCTCAGAAATTCTGTTTGAGTGATTCTCACCATTTTTATATATGTGCAATGTTCTTAGTTCTAAGGTTTCTATGGTAGCATTTATTCATAAACACATTAGTTTATCATTATATATGATAAACAGTAAGTAATTTATTATATATGATAAACCAATCAAGTAATAAGTAATCATTATATATGATAAACAGTCAGTAATTTTAAAGCGTTATGACAAAGAATGCTGGTATGACAGGACACCACGAGTGTAGCTCTCATCCTCTAACTACACTTGGGTAATTATATGACTTTGGGAGTTGTACATTTTTGCGTCTAAATTTTGTGCATATTTTGAAGGCCATATTGAACATTTTTGCTTATAGTAAACTAGACTCCCAAACTAAATTTTACATAGTAGAAAATGAACGTTATATACCATTCTGAGCCCATAATGAATTAAATAAAAATTGATGACATTTTAAATAAGATAGCCCTGTATTCTAATTTTAAATTGTGAAATTTTCAATTTTTTTGTAATATTTTTTCTGTTCATGTTATGATGATGGTCCACTAGGAAAAGTTGGAACATTTACCATGTAGGTTATGCACACACAATTTAAGTGTTTGATGAAGGTTGATAAATTGTGCACCTGGCCAGTTAAGTGTTAGTTGACTGCACTGAATAATCGGCAGTTCCAGCACTGGGCCTTTGCTCCAAATCCCTCTTCCCCACAAAATACAGATGCTCATATCACTGTGTTCCAGATTGCTGCTCTTATGAAGGACTTCCAGGATTTCAAAGCTTCAGTAGCACCTGTTAAATCTACAGCATATGTACCAAAAGTTAAAAAAACACAAAGCATTGATGATTGGTCTCCACCAAAGCGAGAATATAGAAGAAGAAGCAGATTTCAGCCATATCATTCACCACCCCAAACTAGGTACCTGTTTACAAAATACTTGTACTTAAGCCTTTAATTACTCTTTTTGATGCAGCCTGTTTTTTTATTTAATTCTTTGGAGGGGGGGGACAAAGGTGTGTGCCTTCCAGTGCTGTGTAATTAGCAATATTAAATTTAGATTTTTTTTAATAAATTAACAAATCTACAAATTATTTTGCACTAGAGTTGCTGCCTCATGCTGATTAGATTGTTCACTTTGGTTAACATACATTTATAAATACAGTAAATCTGTAGCCACAAAGCCTTACTTCCTTCTGGGAACTCTCAATGGGGTGGACACACAAGTTTCTTTAGGAGGTTTTATCACCATTCTAACCCTTCACTCTTTTAAAGCTCTCTAACCCCACTTGCTCTTTTGTATACAGTATATCTGTTCATGATTGTTGCATTCTTCAGTTCAAAGATAGTACTTGTCTGTATTATGAGACTGTTAAGCGATTCCTGAGAATTCCACTAATAGGTAATACCACCAAGGAAGGCACCCAGAATGTCAGCAAGACTAAACAAACATCTGGCTGTTTGCTATACCTGCAGACTCTAAAACGGCCTAAGAATTCCCCCAAATTATGTAAGCAAACTCTTTGCCCCACCCTCTGGGGGTGCCTGACAGCTGGGTGGACGGTGCTTCGGATTCGTAGTCCAGAGGTTCCGGGTTCGATCCTCGGTGGAGGAGGAGACAAATGAGCAAAATGTTTTTCACCCTGATGCCCCTGTTACCTAGCAGTAAATAGGTACCTGGGAGTTACAGCTGCTACGGGTTGCTTCCTGGGGGGCAGGGGGTGTAACAAAAAGGAGGCCAGGTCGAGGACCGGGCCACGTGGGCGCTAAACCCTGAAATCATTTCGAGATAACCCTCCTTTTCATTTAGGAGGAGGAGCAAGCAGCCTGCGGCTCACAGGTTGCTCCACCCTTAGTTCCCCTCTGGTGTTTTGGGCTCCTGCAGCCGCTATGGCCCCAGTACAGTATTTTTTTTTTTCTTTCCTTGGTGGCAGTTCTTTCCACTTTGTGTGTGTAGGTCAGCAGTTTTGAGCACTTGGAGGTGCATGTGCCCAGGGTTCAAGTTCCAGGTACATTCCCTGGTTCTTCCCTGGAGTGTTCGGAGACGTTCCTTAGGAGATCTGCCTTTCATGTTGTCATTTTTGCCTTGGGGCGAGTCTGGGGTTTTCACCCTCCGTCTTTCCCCCAGTTTAGAATATCTTTGGCTGGTGGGACGTCATTGGGTATTCGCAACTGCACTACAGCGTGCCAAGGAAGGTTTTCCTAGCAGAGTGGTCTTGGCTGGACTGATTTACTAGAGCACCAGCATCACGTCCCAGTGCCTGACCTTCCCACTTGGCTCAAGCTTTCGGGCTCGGGAAATCTCCAACTTGTTCGGCGGTCCAAATGGGCATACCTGCAACCCGTTCTCGCAAATTCGTAAAGTCAATATTGACTTATTAACTACGTGCATAGGTGATATACTAAACATAATAGATACCCTTAAAAAGATTCATAGAAAACACCGACCTTACCTAACCTTGTTAGTATCTTAAGATAAGCATCTTATTGCTTCGTAATTACAATTATTACTTAACCTATACCTATTATAGGTTAGGTAATAATTGTAATTACGAAGCAATAAGATGCTTATCTTAACATACTAACAAGGTTAGGTAAGGTCGGTGTTTTCTATGAATCTTTTTAAGGGTATCTATTATGTTAAGTATGTCACCTATGCACATATTTAATAAGTCAATATTGACTTATTAAATTTGCGAGAACGGGTTGATACCTGTCAATCCCGCCCTCACTATTCGCAAGTTTCAGGGTGTACATTATTTATGCTTCTGGGTGATTTTCATTTGCCCTGCCTCCACCTGCTGCCTGTTTGGTCGCTGACACCTTCAACCTGGAGTTGAGGGAGGTAGTGTTCCCATCGGACTATTTTTCTTCTCTGCCTTCCTGATGACGTTCAGCGTCTCGGGCAGCGACCGCTCTACGTCTTCATTTCTCTAGGTTACATCAGTATAAGTTGTGTGCCCAATTGGATGTCCTGGGGCTGCCCTGGTTAGCTTTAGGTTCATGGAATTGGAGGTGTTGGTCGAGGCTCTGTAGGTTAGTAGGCGCAGCCGACGCATATGCTTGGCAACAATAGTCTGGTTGGCTGCGAATGTAGGTTGTATAGAAACGGAGCAAGATTTTATGGTGTGCTCCCCAGGTGGTGCCAGTGAGGGCTTTAAGTATGGCGAGTCGGGGTTGTGTTGAATGTGTGCTTTGTAGCTAAGTAAGGGGGAGTCTAAGCGCATGCCAAGATATTTGTTCTCGTACGTGTTGGATGGGAGTGTTGTGTATTGTGAGGGTGGGTAGATGTAGTCTTTTTTTAGTGAAAATCTGATAGCAGGTTTTGGTAGTACTAACTTGAAGGCCCCATTGTTGGGGCCCAATCTATGAGGTGGTCAAGTGCTGTTTGCATTGTTGAGACTGTATTAGGTAAGGCATTGTCTGAATAATACAATGTTAAGTCGTCAGCGTACGCCGAGAGGTAAACAGGATGGGTGTTAGGCAAATCTGATAAGAATGCGGCAAATAGGGTTGGGCTTAGTATGGAGCCTTGTGGGACACCTGTTTGTATTGGGATGCCATCGGAAAACTCGCCTTGTATGAAGACTTTGGAGGTCCTGTTTGTGAGATAGGACTGTAACCATAGAAGTAATCTTCCCTGTACGCCTAAACGTGCAAGCTTTGCGAGGAGGCAAGTATGAGGAATGCTATCAAAAGCTCCTTGAGGTCTAGGTAGACAACAAGACAATATTTACTGCTTCTGAGAGAGGTGCGGATTTCATGTTCAAGGCAGAGTATTTGATCTAGCGTGGAGCATTGCGGTCGAAATCCAGCTTGGAGTGATGGTATAATATTATTATACTCTAGGTACCATTGGAGGCGAGTATGTACTAGCCTTTCCATGACTACTGAGGCATGATAGCAGGGAGATAGGTCTGTATGACGCAGGTTGGGATGGGTCTTTTCCTGGTTTAAGGAACAGAAGAATAATACTGGTCTACCATTGTGAGGAAATATTTCCGTGAGTCCAGCATAGGTTGTAATAGTTTAGAAGAGTGCTATGTGCAGTCGGTGGAAGATATTTGATGAGTTCATATGGAATTCCATCCTCTCCAGATGCCTTGCCATTAGGTAGGCGGTTTAAGGCCAATCGTAGCTCGCTTAAGGTGTACATGTTGTCGACGCTGAGCATGGGTAGCAGTATGGCACGGTCAATTTCTTGTCTGAGGGAGAGTTCTTGGGCATGAAAGAAGGGTGTTGAGAGGGTAACTTTAAGGCATTCAGCAAGAATGTTTGCACGCTCCTGAGGCGTTTGACAGAGTGAACCGTTGATCATTAGGGGGAACGAAGGGAATGTTGGGCGACCTTTAATGCTGTTAAATGTAGTCCAGACTTTTGAGTGTGGCGTTGTGGGTGTGAGGCTATCACAGAATGTTGCCCATGATGCTCGCTTTGCTGATAGTATGGTTTTTTTGGCTGCTGCTGTAGCCCGCCGGAGATTGACCCAGTTCTGTAGGGAGGGTTGACGTCTTTGTTTTTGGATGGCTCGTCGACGTAAAGCAACTGTTCGTGTACATTCCACGTTCCACCATGGTTTAAGTGGTTTGTTGGACCCATGTCCTGAAGTTTTCCTGAACATTTGGGTGGCTGCAGAATTTATGGCAGAGGTGATTGTGGATAGTCGCTTGTTAGGGTCTACTTCGTCTGTGTCTGGGAGGCGGACAACATCAGCCCATTTTTTCTTATCTAGGTACTTAATGTTCCACTTGGGAAGCGTTAGCGGGTGGGTTGGTGGTTGAAAGTTAGTAAATTTTATAATGAGGGGTTTGTGGTCACTACCAATATCTGGTCCAGTATGAAACTGTAGTTCATGTTGAAAGTGTGCAGAGCCAAAGCAGATGTCTAGTGAGGCTTCATAATTGGTTCTGTAGTTAAAGTAGGTTGCAAGGTAGGGCGGCGAAAGAAGAGTATATGGTGTAGTGTCTAACTCTACTCCATGTGGGGTGGTTAGCATTGAGATACCTGTAACAATGATCGGGTGTCGTAATTGGTTAAGATAAAATTTCAATTCATTTGAGTTTATTGTGCCTCCAGGGTTGTATATACCCAGAAAGGATGTGTGTGTACCATTGTAAGGTATTAGGCATGCTCGAACTTCTAGTTTACCGTTCACAAAATACATTAGTGTTACAGGTTTACATGTCGTATTACTTCGTGTTAGAAGGAAAATACCACCCCCCATTTGGTTGGGTCTGTCCAGTCTCTGCATCTGAAAGTTTTTAAATACAGGATTTGGTTTGGGAGTGAGCCAGGATTCGGTGATAAATGCTAAGTCTGGTTTGGATGAGTAGAGGAATTGTTTAAGTTCTGTGAGGGATGTTTTAACGCTTTTTGCGTTCCAAGTCATGAAGGTTAGGGGAGCCATTTAGGATGTTTGGGTTGTGGATGTGTCTGTTTTCTTTGGTGTGCCAATAGTGGTACGTGTTGGATACCTAGATGTGGATGGGGGCTGTGTCTTACTCTTGGTACTGGTGGTTGGGGTTTGTGGCACGTCAGCCTGGGTAGTGGTTTTGGTGAGGCGCGCTAAGGAGGTAATTAGGAGTTTTTCCATCATCTGATCAAACAATGTGTGTCCAGCAATGGTAGCTTTATTTGGGCGGATGTCAGTGTCTGTAGCTGTTGATGGGGGGGGGTCTGTTGGGTCAGCCTCAGGGGTGGGTTGTAGTACTTGGGCAAAAAATTTAGTTAGAAGTCGGTCCAGGGTCTTTTCTAGTGCATTTTCGATGCGAGTGATAATCATTTCAATAAGATCATTTTCAATGCGAGTGACAAGAGTTTCAACTAAATCAGGATTCAGTTGTGCATTTTGTGAGAGATGTTTGGACCCTGGGGTTGCGGGATTGTCGGAGACAGGGATATCCGGTACATGCGAAGGTTGTGGTCGAATGTGAGGTATAGGTTGGTGATGGGCTGAGGAGGGTTGTTTTAATGCACTGCTGTATAGCAGGTTGGTGGTAGGGAGAACCTTCATTTTCGCTGCTGCTGCTACGTAACGACATTGTTTAAATGTGATGTCGTGGTCGCCACCACAGTTTGAGCAGGTGAGTGTATCCGATGCACAGTTTTGTGTGTAGTGGGAACCAGAGCATTTCCCACATATAATGTCTTTAGTGCAGCCTTTCGAGGTATGGTTAAAACCCTTACATTTAAAACATTGGGTGGGACGCGGAACATACACCTCTAGTTTATGGAGGAAGCCGTTTAACCAAATCCTATCAGGGGGAACGTAATCTAGAAAAGTAAGCAGGGCGGTGCCTGTATCACTCGGTTCTCTGTTCGTTCGTCGCATAAATTTTTTGACTTCATAGAGTGGGATGCCATTCGTCTCGAGTTGTGCTTTGATGTCTTCTGCGCTGATGTCTACAACATGCCGGATTACATATTTTACTAATGTCTCCTAGTGGTTTATAGCACTTAACTTTGTAACCACAGATGTCAGTAATGTCGGAAATCTCCACTTCCGCGCTCTGTTTGTGATCCACTGCGATCAGGTTCTTTAGTTTATTTGGTCTGATATCGTGCACGTCGATTCCGACTTTTTGGGGAATGGCATTATATAGGATGCTTTGTGCCCTACTATTTCGGAAAATACTCTCATTTTCGCCCTCAAAAGCAATGATAAAGGTTTGTAACTCAGAAGAGCTTGGCCTACCTTGGTTGAGCGGTGGGTGTTGATATTGAGGCCGCGTGGCGTCGGCCTCATTTCTGTTTACCTCTGATAAATGGTGGCGCTTTGCCTCCAGTCTGTTTGCCTTACTATGGTGTTTGCTGTCCAGGAATTCTCCTTCGGGCTCCTCTTCTATGACCGGGTGACGTTCAGGATCCAATTTTGTGGTATGCAGTAGTGGTTTTCCAACATCTTCTAAGGTATCGTCGATGGTTGTACGAGAGACGCCACGTGCGCCTCCAGCAGCCGCCATGACACCGGCCACCTCCGCAGGAACTCGCTCAAAACACACCCAATCACGACCGCGTCCAACACGCAACCGGCGTCAAGGTTGAATGAGATATCTGTTGTTGTTTTCACTACAACCTTTGTCCTCTTCAATTTCTAATCTACTTCTAAATAGAAAGTTAGTCAGTTATTCCTTCAACTAGATCTAACTGATTCGTAACAGCCCCATCTGAATTAGGTGCAGAGGCAGCCTGGGCTCCCAGCCAGTCTTTGTATTTGCTAGCTTGGATCTGTTTTTTTTTTTTATAAGCGACAAGTGGCTCCCCCCCCCCCAGAAAACCAGCATTGAATGCAATGAAATGTCAATTTCTGGGTGAGCTTTGGTGGCTCCCTGTCACCCTCAGTTCCCCAGTGAGTCCGTTTTTTTCATCATTCATCGAACTGAGGGTTGAGCAGCCTGTGAGCTTCAGGCTGCCCCCTCCTTCCCAAAAAACAAGGAGGGTGGGTTAAATGAGCAAGGGCTAGTTAATAACATTTTTGGTCATTTGTTTACATAATTTGTGGGAGTTCTTTAGCCGTTTGAGTCTGCAGGTATTGGAAATAGCCAGCTGTAGTTTTTCTCACTTTCTGGGTGCCTTTCCTGGTGGTGACATAAAAAGATAAATACCACTGTTCCCTGTGCCTTGGTGAGGAGACCAGGTCCTGGCTCTGGGTCTCTGGTAAGCCGGAGAACTGATGGCAACTGATGGAAGAGAAGGCCGTGACTGATGGCAACTTTTAGACATAACACACATCGGAGATGTTAGCTACAGGGAGCCACTAGGGCTCCACCAGACACTGATGTTTCATTGCATTCAACTCTTTTTTTTTTTTTTATTTCTTGTGCACTGGGGTTAATATATAGTGAGGGACTATCTTTACTTAGCTAAGGATACAGTGATGTAAACAGAACTCATTTTGGGGAACTTAGTCCTTGTAACATTCTTGAGAGTACAGGACACATTTTATATTACTTTTAATGGGAACATGAGCAATAATTTTGTTCACTTTTTATCGACCAGATCACGGAGAGGAAGTCTTGGTTCATCCACAGTGAGCTCGCCAAGTGATTGGCAACATCTGGAGGATGAAGAATCAATGACCCAGCCAATCTTTCTCAGGTTTCGCTTCAAAAAGGTTCAAGAGATCCTTAGTAATATGTCGGATGCAGAGGAGTCAGATGACGATGTTAAATGCTATGTTGAGGTTAGCATATAGAAGATTTGCAGTTCTTTTATTCTTGATGACTGATTTGCTATAAATTACATTTTAATTGGCACCATTATTATCTAGCTCTTTTTTTTTTTTTCTGGACTAAGACACTCAACCCATGCATAAGAAAATAGGGTAAAGATGATCATTTCTGGAGGGGGGGGGGGGGGGGGGAAGCCCCGTCAGCTCCCGGAGCTCCCGGAGCTATCCAGGCTGAATGGATATGTATAACTTTTTGGCATCAATGTGCATGGAGTTCTTGCCTATAGGGGACCACGAGCCAGAACCTGGCCCCCTCAGAGAGGCACAAGGAGCAATGGTCTATAGAAACCCCCATGTGGTTGGAAGCATTCTATGTCTGCCATCAACTGGGTCTGACACCCAGAAAGGTAGGTGTCCCAAAATAAACCCTTATTCTGGTGAAACTATTGCTACCGAAAGCCGAACGAGTGGACAGAACTCTCCAGACGGAAATTAGCAAACTAGAATGACGTCATCACGTCACCGTGTCGCCGTCTGCGCAACCCCCGTCTTTCCCCTCCTGGAGAGAGGGGGAGCCCCAGAACCCCCGCACTGGCGATCTACCAGTTCTTGGCTGGTGCGATTCTGGAGAAGTCGTGTGCCTCTGGCTTTTTGTCTGTTCTGTGCCTTGTGGTGTGGGCTGTCTCTACAGGTGGTGTGTGAGCCAGGAGTAATATTCCACGGTACTCGGGCTGCATGCGCCTAGGGTTCCCTTCCCTAGGTGCCCAGTAAGTACTGCCCTTGGGGCTTGGGACCTCCTTCCACAAGTCACCTTGGGATCTACCTCCGCTGTGTTTTTCACTGCTCGGTATTTGGCTGCCCTTGGGGTTAGCTAGGGTTTTGTTGCCCTTGTTTGTCTCTGGGTAGGAGGTAGCTTTCGTCACTGGTAGGGGTGCTGGGTTCTGAACAGCTAGTTATCACCTATTATAGCAGCCGGCTCTGTTCCGCCTGGGTACGTTGTCCTCTTGCGGGGTTTTTCTTTTGTTTTTGTTTTCCTGCCTGGTGGGGGGAGGGTGTCTGCATTTGCCCTTCCCCTCTCTGTTGTTGGGGGTAGGTATAATTTTATTCACTTCTGTGTCTTGGTGGTATCCCCTGCTAGGCTTTCCCGTGAGTGGACATGTCCCGGGGGTTCAGCATTTAGAAGCTCGTTTGGTAGACTTGGGCACCGGTTCGCAGTACCTTGCCTGGGCTTCCCTTAGCATGTTAACAAGGCTAAGGGCCCTAGGAAACTCTGCGGGGGCTCCGTGGTCCGATGGATATGACCCTCGAGTCCCCTCTAGCTTCGTGCGAGATTGAAGGCTGCTCTGTTCCTTTGTCTTGGTGACTCAGATTGTTCCTCCGCCATGCTGTCTGTTGGATCCGAGATTCTTTTGACCCAGAGTCATGCGATGTTTGTTGTCTGTACGTGCTCCAGCTACTGATAATGATTAGTGTGTGCAGGCAGCTGCTGCATTGCATGCTAGGTTCAGGTTGCAAAGCACTAGGTTGGTTGTAGCCCGAGATGCCCCGAGACTGCCCCGTTTTGGGTCTAGACACCCGGACTAGGGATAGAAGTTGCTTCAACACTGGTTCCTCCCCCTTGCTTCCTGCTCGGAACCGTCTGAGGGTTTCCGAGTCCGGGCGGGGTCTAGTCGGTGTTGAGACTCGGGCGGTCTCGGAAGTCCTCTTCTGGGGTTGCGGCGGAGGCATTCGAGCCTGGTCCTTCTGCCGGAGCTTCTGGGTCTGACCAGTGGGGACCCTTCCCCCCTTTCCTTTTTGCTTTCTCGGCAGCTCCCGCCTTTTCTTTGGAAGCGGGATTGTATGGAGGCAAACTTGGCCCTGGGTCCTCAGGGCCGAAGACCTGGTGTTGAAGGTTTTCCTGGGGGGAGACTTGAAGCATTTCTATGCTTGTTTGTTTGCCCCTGCCCGTCGTCCCATTGGCTGGGTGACGGGGGGGGGGGGGGTGTGACTCTTTGTTCACTCTCGCCTGGTCCTGCGATTTGTGGGCCTTTCGGGTCATTTCATGCGGCCTGCGGTAGGGTTGGGTGGCTCCTCCTCCTTTGGGGGGTTCGGGGCAGGCGGGGCAGGCCTCTTCTCCTGTATTGTCGAGTCATCTTGGTGTGGGTTTGCTTGGGCGTGGTTGAAACGACCTTCTCCCTCAGGTGGGTTTCCCGCCTGTTTCCGGTCCCAAAACAGGACTGCGCAGACCTCCAGTTCATTCTGGACTTGTCTTGTCTGAACCCGTGGGTTTATTGCCTAGTCAATAACCCAAGCACCCTGGTTCTTGGGTTCCGGTCAAAACCCAATGCCGACCCAATGTCAGAACCCAATCTTGACTGGGGTTCTGGTAGAGATGCCTCGACCAGAACCTTGGCGTCGTCGAGGCATCTCTCGGTGTACATGGCACCCTTCCCCAACTGCGAGGCCATCGGGGTTGATGCCGTCCGGCAGGACTGGGCGGGGTAGGGTTACATGTACCTCTTTTCCCCGGTTCAGCTGCTACTCCGGGTCCTGGCTCGCTTGGAGACTTCCCAGGGGAGAGTTGTCCTTCTGGCTCCTTGGTGGCCAGCCCAGCCTTAGCTTCAAGCGCTGCTTGCTCGGTGTCCGAACCCAAGGGTCTTCCTGCGGCTCCGCCTCTTTCAGCAGATCGATCCGGCCTGTTACAAGGCTGGTTCGTTCGTTCTCTTCTAGTCTTCGTGTCTGGAGTTTCCGACTCGAGTTTATCATCACTTGTATGGGGCGCAGGTGGCTTCTTTGTTGGTCTCCCACCTGTGTGCTTCGTCTCGGCAACAGTATGAAGTTTCCTAGCTGTCCTAACGTTTTTCCTATCACTGCGTCGGTGTTCTTTGGTCTCTGATAAGGTTGTTTTGTCCTTCCTTTCGTGGTTGTTCCAGGACCGTCATCTGATGCCGCATACTGTAGCCTCGTATCTTGCGGCGCTGGCGGAGCCGCTCTAGCTTGCGTTCGGTGTTGTTGTTACTTCTTCCCCGTTCTGCTGTCTCGTGCATTCTTTCGCCCCTGGCCTGCTCATGCGCCTCCTGAGCCGTCCTAGTCTTTGGACCGGGTGCTCTCTTTTCTCTCGGTTTGTGGTGGCCCCTTCAGTTCAGGTTTCTTTCTTTTTCTCGTTGGCATTGGCCTCTGGGGGATCGGGTCGGGGAGTTTCATGCTCTTCTCTGGCACAGAAGCTTCTGCTCCTTCGGTCCTGGTAGTCGTTTTGTTAGTTTACGGCCGTCTCATTCTTTTCGGGTGTAGAATGCGTCTGCTGCTTTTCGGAGGGGTCCTTGAGTTGTTGCTGCTTGGTTGGTCAGGCCGGGGATGCATCATGTGTTTGGTTGCGGTACTCTGCTGTTAACTGCGCGTCTTGGCCTCTTTAGCCGTAGGGGCATTTTGGATTGCCCGGGTTCCCTTCCTTCCTTCCTTCTTGTTCCAGGGTTCGGGTCTCCCGGGTTGTCTGTTGGGTCCTTCAGTTTGCTGGTAGTCTTGTTTTTGCATTTGGGCACGAGGCATCCACCATCCAGGTCCTTCCCTCTTTTCCTTATCTTTGGTGAGGTAGCTCTGGGGAGCCGATGGGGCTTTCCCCAGAAAACCAGCGTTGAATGTAATAAAACGCCATTTTCTGGGCGAGACCTGGAGACTTCCCGGCATCCCTCCCTCCGGTCGGTGGCGTTTTCACATGTTTTGACATACAGCCTAAGAACTGCCAGTTGGATCGCCGGCGCGTGGGGTCTGGGGCTACTCCTTCCCCCTCCTGGGAAGGGTGGGTTGTGCAGACAGTGGCGAGGCGATATGATGAAGTCGTGCTAGTTTGCTAATTTTCATTTGGGGAGTTCTGTCCACTCGTTCGGCTTTCGGTAGCAATAGTTTTGCCAGAATAGGGGTTTATTTTGGGACACCTACCTTTCTGGGTGTCAGACCCGGTTGATGGCAGACATAGAATGCTCCCAACCACATTGGGGGGGGGGGGGGTTCTATAGGTCATTGCTCCTCGTGCCTCTCTGAGGGAGCCAGGTTCTGGCTTGTGGTCCCTGGTTTACAAGAACTCCATGCACATGACTGATGCCAGAAAGTTATAAATATCCATTCAGCCTGGATAGCTCCGGGGAGCCTCCGGGTCTTGCCCAGAAAATGGTTTCATTACATTCAACACTGTTTTTTTTACCATGTTTTTAATTTTCGTGCATTGTGTAGGCATCTGCTCATTTTTGTGTTTTCTCATTATTGTTGTTCATTATGTGAATAGAACTTTATTAGAAGTTCTTAATATTTTGTTGTAGATTTGTGGTAGGTTATTTACAGGTACTTGTTTTGTGTGCTTGCAGGACATGGATGTAGAAAAAATGAAACGAGCTGCCCGCAATCTTTCATCGTCATTTAGCATTTCTCCGATTAAACGCACTAGTATTGGGAGCTCTGATAATTCTGGAAGTGGGCGGAGGAGTAGGCCTAACGCTGTGTTTGATCCTAATGTTAATATAGTTATGCCAGAGAATGTTACCCCTTCAGATCTAAGAAATGTTGCTGATCGCAGTGGAGGGAAGATCTACAATGCTCACATTGGGACTACATGTCATCAGTGCAGGTATGATTAATTTTGATTATACAATAATTATCTATAGTGTATATATGAATGTACAGTAGAGTCTTGAACATCCAGTTTACAATGATCTTTAAGTATTAAAAATGTGAATTTTCCACCTGAACAATTTTACAAAACCTTAGTGTTAATCGATTGTTTATTTGCCCCCAGTTGGGAACAAGATGACAATTAGCCATGTATAGTAAATAATGAATTATTAAATATTAGAGTACATCTAAAAATGTATGCTAATATAATGACAACTGAAAACAGTACTAATTAAACAAAAATTAAAATAATAAAAGTATTGCAATTAACTGAATTTTACTGTTTTGTGGTCTACCAATAATAACTTTTGTGGTCCTGGCTGCTCGATATCTCGTGAACGTTCCTGGGCCTAGTCGGGCCCGTGTTGCTTTGGGTCAGCAGTTGCAGCCAGTTGTCTCGATTTTGAGTCGAGGAGTGAGCAGCGACCGCCTCCCGGGTCAGTCCCTTTACTTTTCCTCTGTGGGTAGTTAGCTCCAGGGAGCTGAAGGGGCTCCTCCCAGAAAACCAGCGTTGAATGTAATGAAACGCCATTTTCTGGGTGAGACCCGGAGGCTCCCCGGCATCCCCTCCCCGGTTGGTGGTTTTTCACTTGTTTTGACATCCAGGCTCAGAACTAAATGGTGGATAGCCGGGTGGGGGTCTGGGGCTCCCCCTTCCCCCTCCCAGGGAGGCGGAGCTGCGCAGACAGCGGCACAGCTACGTGTGATGTCATGCTCATTTGCTCGTTTCTATTTGGGGAGTTCTATCCACTTGTTTGGTGTTTGGTAGCAATTTTCACCAGAATAGGTGTTTTGGGACGCTTACCTTTCTGGGTGCATGAACCGGTCGATGGCAGACATAGAATGCTTCAAACCATACAGGGGTTTCTATAGGCCATTGCTCACTATGGCTCTCTGAGGGGGGCCAGGTTCTGGCTCATGGTTCCCGGTAGGCCCACAGAACCCCCCACACATGATTGATGCCAAATTCTGACATTAGCATATCAGCTTGGATAAGCTCCGGGGAGCCTCTGGGTCTCGCCTAGAAAATGGGGTTTTATTACATTCAACGCTGTTTTTTTTGGTATCACGACCAACATAAATTTGTATTTCCACATACAATGAACATAAATTTACATTGGGGAGGATCTTCATAGAATAAGTAAATTATGACAATAAAAAAAATCAGCTTAGCTTAGTGAACATAACATTGCTTGATTGATGGACAACTATTCTGTTTATTTATCTAACCTAATCTAAAAATATTGTACAAGTGCTTATATTGTGTGGATTTATCTTGCCGTTTCTTATTAGACTCTGTACTTGTGCTGATCCTCAGTTCTCTTCCAACACTCGCATCAGCATGACCATTTTCAAAAAGTGCAGTCACCAACTTATCCATATTTGGTAAAGTAACTTGCTTCCTCCTAACACCTTGACATTGATAACAGACATGCTATCAGACATGTTCTGGGCAAAAATCATGTAAGTTTGTATTAATCGGAAAAAAGTTAGAAAAGAAAAGCTTGGTTGTGGACTGCTACTTCATTAATTAAAGTCAGGGAAGAAACACTTGGGTTGGAACAGGTCCACATGGGACATGTGTAGGCTACCAGATGGAAAACTTGTATAATATAGCATGGGAAATAAACTACAGCTTGTAATGCCAGTTTTTTAAGAATCAAATGTTATTTGAAATGCTAGATATATAATATTCCTAGATTATTGAAATATGCTAAAACACAACTAGTTTTAATGCTGTTTATTATTAAAATATTATTCCTTGAACCTGCTTTTTATGTTTTAGGCAGAAGACTATTGACACGAAGACCATTTGTCGGTCTGGTGAATGTTCAGGAGTACGTGGATTGTTTTGTGGACCCTGTCTCAAGAACCGATATGGAGAGGATGTCAGAGATGCACTACTTAACCCTGTAAGTCACTGTTTATCAAGGTATCCATATGGATCTACATAGGAGGAATTTAAAGTCTGGAGAGGAAATTTAGCTAGAGGAAGAATTGGAGAATTATATTTACATTACAAACTATTAATTTTTTCTCCCGATTTATGGCGGGGAGAATTTAAGTGTTTGGAACTGGTACGGAAGGAAAGAATTCTGTGGATTTTAACCCTTGAGTTGCTAAGGGCCATTTTGCCTACAACACCCACAGGTGCAAAAAAAAAAAAAATCCAAAAAATTCTTTTGTCTTATAAAAGTTTTCATTTGTGTTCCCTGCTCACAGGAAAAGTAAAAAAAAAAAAATTGTATGTGGCTTATTTTGGGCGCAATAGGGTGGGGGAAGTCTGGCAAAAAAAAAAGAGGCGTTGACAGCAGTCGCCAGACGAGGTCTGCTCCACCCGCGCTGTCAGGCGAGGGTTGCTACAAAGATATTATTACCTAATTATTTCAATGTCTGATTATTTTTTTATTTTTTTATTTTTTTTCAGTAATATTATTCAATTACCATCGCTGTACTCAAAATTGTGTTCATATTAGTAATTCAATTATGTTCATAAAACAATAAACAAAGTTTTGCTGTTATTACACTATATACACATGTTATATAGACGTATCTGCATGTTTTGTTCACCATAACAAACCACTAAGTTGGTATTGTGAGTTGAAAAGCAACGAAGAGTAGCCTTCACCCGCCAGCCACTCGCCACCACTTCCTCACTCGCCAACATACTCCTCCAACCATACTGTCTTTGCTTTTATTCACTACTAGCTGTACCCGGCCACGCGTTGCTGTGGCTCGGCAACGCATGTGTTGCCGAGCCACAGCAACCTTATCCTGTCCTCCAGTCCTCCCCATCATTTCCCCCTCCCCTGTCCCCTCGTCTTCCCAATCATTCCCCCCATCCCCTTGTCCTCCCCACCATTCCCCCCTCCCCGTCCTCTTGTCCTCCCCAACATGCCCCCACTCCACCGTCCCCTCGTCCTCACCACCATCTCCCACTCCATCGTCCCCTCAACCTCCGTACCATTCCACCCTCCCCCACTCTCCTGTCCCCTTTTCCTCCCCACCATTCCCCGTTCCCCCATCCCCTCATCTCCACCATCCTCCCCTCCCCCATCCCCCATTTAGGGAGCCGGTCGGCCGAGCGGACAGCACGCTGGACTTGTGATCCTGTTGTCCCGAGTTCGATCCCGGGCACCGGCGAGAAACAATGGGAAGAGTTTCTTTCACCGTATGCCCCTGTTACCTAGCAGTAAAATAGGTACCTGGGTGTTAGTCAGCTGTCACGGGCTGCTTCCTGGGGGTGGAGGCCTGGTCGAGGACCGGGCCGCGGGGACACTAAAGCCCCGAAATCATCTCAAGATAACCTCGTCCTCCCCACCATTCACCACTCCCTCGTCCGATGCATTCCCAAATGATCTGATGTTACCATCAGAAAATCTGGAACATCAAATGATCTGATGTTCCCATCACTGAAAAATAAGCAGAACAGTTAAAAAACTGAGAAACAATGAAAAAATAAAATAAATCATACTCACAAAACGAATGGTATGATAAACACAGCTCAATTTCAACGCAATGTCACACAAAATATACAAATCGAAATGTAAATAAATAAAAATCTATGAAAATTCAATTTATCAATGCAATCGGAAAACATTGAAATGGAACCGTAACATATAGCGTGTGTTGCTCTTATGTGCAACAGATGGTGCTGTTTTTCAAAAAAACATGGTTTTACCTGTCACAAGAGTGGCATCTATACTTATACTCACGAAATGAATGGTATGGTAAACAACACAGCTCAATTCCATCGCAATGTCACACAAAATAATTAAATAAAAATTGAAAATAAATCAATCTATGAAAATTCAATTTATCAATGCAATCGGAAACATTGAAATGTACTCGTAACATATTTAGAATAGCGTGTGTTGCTCTTACGGTCAACAGATGGCGCTGTTTAAAAAAAAAAAAAAAAAAAAAAATTTTACCCCTCACAGATGTGGCATCTATAAAGTAGATATATAAAAACACACACACATTCAAATGGAATGTTGTGTCAAAATTTCAAAGCAGTTTTTTTTTTTCTACCACAGATGTGGCCACACATTTACAACCAGCATATATACATTTTCTTCTGTCCTCCATGGACAGGGTTAGAGAAGTGTTAAACATATAGTTCAAGGGTTTATTGAACACTCAACCACAGAAGGTGATTCGGTGCTTTTAAAATGCTAAGCTAACCTACATACGTAAATACAGTACATAGATACACAGATTTACGTATGCCCTACATAAAGTGTTTGATGTGTCTTTTACCTAGTGTTATTAATGTACATTCACAAAGGTGAAATGTAATTCTGATCAGCTTCCACATATACATTTTACACATACATACATCAATTACATCAATTAATATAGCGTGTGTTGCACTTACGTCCAACAGATGCCGCTGTTTAATAAAAGCATGTTTTTTCCTGTCACTGGTGAGGCATGTATATAGTAGGTATAAAAAAAACCGTGCCTATTTGAATGCAATGTTGTGTCAAAATTTCAAAGCAATCAGTAAAGAGGTTTTGAAGATTTCCCTCGCATGGAAAACCATTTTTAAAAAAAAGCATGTTTTTTTCCCCATCACAGACGTGACATCTATATAGTACCTGTATGTATATAAAAACCCGCTCAGATGCGATTGGAACATTGTGTAAAAATTTCAAAGCAATCGGTGAAGAACTTTCGAAGATTAGCAATTTTGAACAAACGAACATTTCCATTTTTATTTATATAGATTCACAAACATTAAATATAAGTATCTACATGTTTTGTTCGGCATAACTGTACATCTAAGCTTGTATGACGAGTTCAAGCAATAAGAGATGTAGCCCCCCCCCCCCCCCCCACACACACACACACACACACACACACACACACACACACACACACACACACACACACACACACACACACACACACACACAAAATGCCCAAATGAGCCACAGAGATATTAGAAAGAACTTTTTTAGTGTCAGAGTGGTTGACAAATGGAATGCATTAGGAAGTGATGTGGTGGAGGCTGACTCCATACACAGTTTCAAGTGTAGATATGACAGAGCCCGATAGGCTCATGAATCTGTACACCTGTTGATTGACGGTTGAGAGGCGGGACCAAAGAGCCAGAGCTCAACCCCCGCAAACACAACTAGGTGAGTACACACACACACACACACACACACACACACACACACACACACACACACACACACACACACACAGTCGGCTGGTGGCTGCTGCCGTCACTGGTTAAAGGCCAGACGCACTAATATTTCTCCTCCAACAACAATGTTTGTGGTGTTATTACACTCTCAGCCCGTCCTCCAAAAATGGGGAAGTAAATATAAGAAGACAAATAAGTGCAATTATGTACTATTCATAGCAGTTAGGAATTGTACTTATTTTCACTTAGTATTAAATCGTACTATCATATATATTGTGAATATTTGAGTTTACCTGAAAAACTGAATAGAAAACCACAACCTCACCTAACCGTCTTAGTTTTTGAAGATAATAATTTTATTGCTTCTTAATTACAATTAGTACTTAACCTATAGCTATATTGATATTACAGTTTTATAAAACTAATAAACAAAACTAAAATATATCAATAAATTGTAAAGAAACTCAGGATATTTTAAAATTTTGTATAAAATCTATAGTGTTTAATAAACCTGAAAAAGACATTCCTGATATTTAAAACTTGTGTACAGTGTATAGCAAATTGAAATTGAAAACTTTATCCTAAAATTCTGTGTGTCTTAACAGAAAACGATGAGAATTAAATCGGGGGAGGGAGTTGGGTAAATGTAACAGCCCCATAAGTGTAGTTATGCACTGTTTATGACAATAAGAAAATGTACTTATTACACTTTGTGTTAAATCGTACTGTCAATTCGGAGGATGGGCTGTACACTCAATACACACATTATATATAAGTATCTACATGTTTTATTCACCATACCTGTACAAATAAGCTGGTATAGTGCCCAAAGACCATAGTGACCACCAGTAAACATAATATATCATGCAAACAATGCACCTCCCTCACCAAAATGGCAGCTCCCAACATGCTCCTATTGCTGTTATTACATTCTATATCTATTTAGCAGTTTGTTGTCATTGTCTTCCATAATTTCTACCTTTACTATTTTCTGTCCTCAAATGCATTTTTTAAGGTCATTCCCATTTATTTTCTCGCTTCCATATAGCCATGGGGATGGGAGGAGGTGGGCAAGCAGGTTGGATAGATGGATGGTGGGTGGGTGGATGGATTGATGGATAGATGTCTGGTGGGTGGGCAGGCAAGGGCAGACATGATAGCAAAAAATTTGGCAATTTTACATCAAAGCTAGTAAACACGTTGGTAAAGAAAATCTTTCAGTCAATGTAGTATCATGTATGGGAAGAACACGTGGGTGGCGAGTGGGTGGGCAGGTGGTAGGGTTGGCGGACAGATGAGTAGCAGGGCGGGCAGCAAAGTCGGTGAATGGGTGGAAGGACGAACTTGTGTGGGTGGTCAAATAAAATGCAGTGAATGGAGATGTTATGGATGTCGCCTAACTCCACAATTTCAAAATAAAATTAAACTTTGAATACAAATATTGAAAGATTCAAAAGCACCCTAGATACAAAAAGCTAGACCTCATTTCCTTTAGTCACTGATATGTATGCACATCTCCAATAGGCCAAAGCTGTTGCATTATTTGACTTTACATTTTGCCTTTGTGCAACTTGGCTTTATTTTAACTTTAGTATTATATTGTTTGCCCTTGAAACTGAAATTTTGTTGATAGGAATGTGGCCATTATATGTGTTTAGTTCTCTTCTTTGTTGACAAAGTGGCTTAGCATTTTCTCCCCAACATTTTTTAATTTGTGTTTTTTCTGTACATGTAATTTATTTCATCATCTTGAATGATGCATTATTTGCTAATGGAGTTAAATTCCTTCTGTATTCATGAAGCCTTTGATTTCATTTCCAGAAGTGGATGTGTCCTCCATGTCGAGGTTTGTGCAATTGCTCTATATGTCGCAACCGAAGTGGGAAGAGTGCCACAGGAATCCTCATCAATATTGCTAAGGCTCGTGGCTTTGACAACGTGAAAGATTATCTTGAAAGTCTGATCAAGTAGTGTGACTTGCCTTTATTTTTAATGATTGTTGCAGAAGGTTTTTGCTTTTAAATAAAATATTTTTTTATGTATGTTTTGACAGTCATATGTGATCGAAATTGAGAAATATTGGTTGGCTATCATTTTATAAATATTTTTATAGTTACATGTGGAAGCACCTTGTGAATATGTACAGAAGGGAAGGGAACTATCAGGGGAGGAAAGTGCCAAGCTATTAACAACTAGAGCACTTGGAAGGGGTAGGAATGGTGCCCAACCAATTTGACGGTCGAATATGAATAGAATGAAGTTGTATTATAATAAATGGCTGTAATACTATTTGGTGTAACACATAATCGTAACTTTCATAAGTAAACTGACCGTGCCTTAAAAGCAAAAAAGGAACTGCCTGTTTATTTCTCTTAGTGAACAAATTCAATTTCTAACCTGCACTAAAATATCTTGCCTAGCTACCTTTTGTAGATTGAGTCAGCTGTCATGAGCTTGATAATCTTGCCTCTGCCCTTTTTAGGGTCTGGAGGACATATTTGTAGATACTGTTATGTTTACTTGTACTAAAGTGCTCTTGTCTAGGATGCACAGCCTCCATAATTCAGAACCTCTGAATGCTACAGCTCATTATTAACTTTGTACAGTTGTAAGTAACATTTTATTTCCAGCTACACTGCCTCTTTTAAGTTTAAAATCATTACATTTTACTATTTTCCCTAGATAAAGAATTGTCAAATTTATATACTATTGCTTTCTCATCTTTGGTTAATGTACTGTAAAAGCAATTGCATTTATGTACATCATAATGTTATTGGTACAGTAATAGTTTATTTGCGAAATCTGAGTAGTAAAACCTTCGATGGATTTCCTACAGTAAATGAGTCTGGTTTCAGAAAAAAAAATAAGTCATTTGATAGGCATTGACCCTATCTCTATAGGAAAGGAATGAGTAAGCATCTCATACTGATAAGGAACCCATGCAGGAAAATATGGTTACAGTAGTGATTCAAGTGATTACTTAACAGATTACTGTTGTGTGAAAGAAACTTGTAGTGAAGTTTCCCCCTTCCCCCAAACTAGTCATTGTTTTGTGTGCAACAGGTGCACGTTTAGCTTTTAGTTTTGTCATTTGCATAGCAAATTGACATAGGGTTCTTGCATGAATGAGAACACTGCTTGTGTAGAATTAATAGTAATAAAGATGCATACCTACCCAGCAGTAGCAAAGATTTAACATAGTGGACACCATTAGCACAAAGATGCACCACAAAGATGTAGTACAACATATGGAGAGAAATATGCTATGAGGCTGCAAAAAATAAATGATAAATAACCCCCCCCCACCCACCCCTTCCCTGGGCAATGAATCTTTCAAAAACATTGATTAAACATTACTTGAAAGTGTTTCCCACTGGAGAGGATTAGGGTTCAATCCCCACTGTTGTATGTGTGAAGATGGTTTTATATTTTTACCAAGTATAGACAACAAATAATGTGCCATACAGCCCTAAATTCAGTATATCTTGGATAGTAAATGCTGGAAAATTCCTATTGCATTTTATTTGTACTATAGGTTTACATGGCCTAGCATTCCATTACGGTAAGACCAACAAAGTCTTCTTGGCTTGGTGCCTTCTTTTATCCTAAGACCAAGTTATGTAATCAATAAAGTGATGGTTCTTGTCATTGCAAGGTAGTATATAATCTTCCTTTATGATAAAAATTGCCTAGGAAGATGATATAAAAAGTGTAGCACAACATTGGTACAGTTGTACAATTTACTTTTATTTAGATTAAATTTTTCCTTAATTTATAAGAGTAATTTTTACATTGTGGAGTGATCTGTAAATATTGGTTTTATAAAGAGTACTTTTTTATACAGTACTGTTCATGATTATATTCATGTGTTTTGGTTGTATAAGAATTACACTGATAATATATAAGGTCACTACTGGAATAATTTGGGATGTAATACTGTATGTGCCTTAACGAGAATCATGGTCAGTAGCGTGTTGTGGATCTTTTGAAAGTAATTTGATAGTGTTGCGATTGTATTTTTTATATTTTTTTATTTATTTATTATTAAATTAAATTACTACTTTCATTGGTGGGTAAAATGCTGTACATATATTCAATGTGGAAATGTACATGTATTCCAAGAGTAAAAATACTTTTTATATATATATATATATATGTGCATCAGTATTTTAACAGTATTATAGTTTTATTACAATTTAGTGATGTGAACATAGTTATGAAAATGTAGAATTGTTGCTATGGTATTTGTAATTTGTGTTATGGATGTTTTGCAAAATACTTCATTGTGATTTGGGAATGGTGGTGCACACTTGTGTTCTTTTACCTAATAAGTTTAACAAAAGTAATTCAACTCAAATAATTTTAAAATGTACTGTATAGCAAGAGGTGGTATGCCAGCAAAAATTCACTGTATATGTAAATACATCATGAACTGTGATTTTTTTTAATAACTTAATGACCAAAAGCATACCATGGGCATGGTAAAATGAAAATGCCATCATGGGAGCAAAAGGTTGAGAAGTTATTATATACCAATGCAAGTGTGTTGCTTTTAACTGTTTCTGTATAACAAGTGCAAGAAGCATTTTGGTTTTTAGTTATAGTCTGAGCAATGAGATGATTTTGGATGGCTGCCAATTTGTTTATGGCAGGAACTGCAAGGCGAGGTTTGTCGTTAACTGAAGTCACCTTCAACATTATCTTGCTATTATTTGTATACTGTAAACAAAATATGGAGTGCCTTGTTGAATGGGAATGTAATTTTGTTAATACTGTGAGTATATTTACTACAATATTTTGATACAATTTTTTTTTTTTTACCGTGGGGGGGGGGGGGGAATTATCAAGGGAAAGCACCAAGCCATTACGACTATATAGCACTGGGAAGGGGTCAGGATAAGGATTTGGGATAGGTCGGAGGGAAGGAATGGTACCCAACCACTTGGACGGTCGGGGATTGAACGCCGACCTGCATGAAGCGAAACCGTCGTTCTACCGTCCAGCCCAAGTGGTTGGGTAGGGGGGGGGGGGATTACACAAAGTGTTGAGGCTGCTGTTGGAGCTGTGGTGACGGCTGGTGGTCGAGGAGCGGACAGGTTGCCTGGAAACAAAATATAATATATGAGTTATGTCAAGAATTGAACAGAGGCATCAGATGAAAGAAAAAATCTTGCCCGACCGTTTCTGGCCTGCCCGAGGATTGAACCCAGCTCCCTCGATTGTATACCGAAGACGTAGACTACTGTTCTACAAGACAGAGTACTAGGGCAACTCGCATATAATGAAATATGGGGTCCGGTGAGTATAATTGTGGGTCCCGGTGAGTATAATGAAATACGCAATGTAAAATCATATATAAATCAACTAGAGGGGAAGCCGGCGATGCCCGGGTCTCTTTGACAGCAAAGAAATAAGCGAGGTCGGAGAACATCTATGGACGATCAAACCCACATTTTATAAAAAAAGAAAAAACTTCACATTCTTTGCTTGTCACTGATGTAATGTTACTAATGCCCCTGTTACCTATCACAATAGTGATAGGCGATCATCCTACTTAAACTAGGGGCAAGCGAAGCTAACCGCAATAGCCTGACCTCGAACAAGAACACAGATAAACAAACATTCTCTCTTATAGATCTTACAGGGTCCCGGTTTATACAGCCGGGCTGGTTTTCGATTCGCAGTCGAACATTTCGAGTTCGAATCCCGGGGGCGGGACAGAAAAGATTGGGTGCATTTCCTATAATAATGAATTATTAATGATTTGAATTATAGGTTTATTAGCACTGGAGTGTATGCGGTCACTCGGTCAGTTAGGTTAAGCGCCACTAGGATTGTACCGTGTTGGATGGATGACCGTGTTAGCTTTGGCCTGTTACTAGGCCATCTTATACTAGCAGGTCTACTGTATACTAGTAGACATTGATGCTAGTTACTAGAAGCTCAATTTTCCTTTAAAATGCTCTTCTTTCTTGTGAAAGAAAACGTTAAATAACATACTGATTAAAGGGGTAACTGACAAAATTTAGACATTCAGAATCGATTAGGAATAATCAAGAATTAAGAAAAACGAGAGATGAATTTAATAATAATAATAATTATTCGTTGTTATTAGTGTACGTGAGAGAGAGAGAAAGGAGAGACGTAAACATTTCCAGCTACGAACCTCTGTGCCCTCGTCAACCTGGTTAAGGCCCGCCAGCAAGAGCAGACGGTGCTGGGGCAGAAGATACCGTCTACAGGCTACCAGCTCTGGCAGATCTCCCTCTTCAGTAGTCTCCACGCCCTCTGTGAACCTGTCGGAGGCAGAGAGAAACTTGAGTCAGCCTACTGCAGGGTGCAACAATATTTTTGTTTACGGGTGGAAGGGGTGTATTCAGGTGGTGTGGACTGGTGAATGGTGTACTTTTAACGAAATCTATTGTTTTAGTCGATTTATTCATCCAGTGGGTGGTAGTGGACACCCCACACCCATCCTGTTGGTGGTAGTGGATCCCACACCCATCCTGTGGGTGGTAATGGACCCCACACCCATCCTGTGGATGGTAGTGGACCCCACGCCCATCCTGTGGATGGTAATGGACCCCACACCCATCCTGTGGGTGGTAGTGGACTCCCTACCCATCCTGTTGGTGGTAGCGGACCCCATACCTATCCCGTGGGTGGTAGCGGACCCTATACCTATCCCGTGGGTGGTAGTGGACCCCATACCAGGGCAGTGGAGGTTATCTAGCTTGAGGTTATCTTGAGATGATTTCGGGGCTTAGCGTCCCCGCGGCCCGGTCCTCGACCAGGCCTCCTTTTTTGTTACACACCCACAAGAAGCAGTCCGTAGCAGCTGTCTAACTCCCAGGTACCTATTTACTGCTAGGTAACAGGGGCATCAGGGTGAAAGAGACATTTTGCCCATGTCTCCGCCTCCACCGGGGATCGACCCCGGAACCTTAGGACTACGAATCCGAAGCGCTGTCCACTCAGCTGTCAGGCGCTGTCAGGACCACACACCCACCCTGTGATGGGGGGGGGGGGTCCTGTTCATGTTCTCTAAAATGAAACCCCAAAAGGAGGGAATTTTAGATGATTTAGGAATGCCAGAAAGTACTTGTTGACCAAGAATGCCAGAAAGAACTTGCTTACCAAGAATGCCAGAAAGTACTTGTTTACCAAGAATGCCAGAAAGAACTTGTTTACAAAGTATTCCTGAGCGTGCCTGCACAAGAGTACACGAATATGGTGCATATTGTCCCAGGTCGTCTGATAACGTGGAGGGGCAGTGGACTGTGATTCACTGGACTTAAAGTATGGTAATTATGAAGGGAAAGTTAACCCATTAGGACTACAGAGCACCTGGAAAGGAAACTAGGGCTAGGAGCTAGGATATGAGGATAGAACTGCAGCTGGGATAGGGGACGGATTGAAGGAACTATGCCCAGCAATCAGGTCATTGAGTTGAATCCGATGGATGACACTGTTGTAATGTGTTGGTGATGAGGAGGGGCTCCAGAGGGCAGCTGTAAGAGGACTACCACTAAGCTTCAGGCACGACCCACCTGACGAGGAAGAGACGCCGGTAGTCCCTACTGAGCTGGAGGTCGTGGAGACGGGAGAGTAGCGAGGGAAGTAGCGAGTCGCAAGGGTGTACTTCCCGTCCCATGGCCGCCACACACTCTGAAATATTAACCACAGAGATATTAACCACAGCGACTAATAACAGTGACCATCGACGCTTCATTCTAGTTAAATTAATCGAGGGAATTATAATTGACGCGTTTTTGTGTCATTGATGCTGGAGACAGTCTAGCTGTGCTTGAGACACAAACACTCAGCCTTGGGAGTTTTCATAATAGTGGGTTTATATTTCATATGGAGTTGAATTACAGTAGACCCTTAGCCTCGAAGAAGAAAGTGAATGGCATTCTGGGAAGCGTCATATACCTGTCAACGTGAGCTATGGACAACTGCACCATATCTTCAGGATTAACCAACGCATGGAGTTGGTAGGGCAAGATGAACACAGCCAACGCCATTCCCGTTACCCAGAGGAGTTTTACTGTCACTGTTCTTCAAGAATTGTTCATTAAATGTTCATCTCTGTTCTTCAAGAATTGTGCACTTTAAGACACTGACCTCAATAGCTTGGTCAGTGTTACACCACCACTGAGCCGGTCGGCCGAGCGGACAGCACGCTGGACTTGTGATCCTGTGGTCCTGGGTTCGATCCCAGGCGCCGGCGAGAAACAATGGGCAGTTTCTTTCACCCTATGCCCCTGTTACCTAGCAGTAAAATAGGTACCTGGTTGTTAGTCAGCTGTCACGGGCTGCTTCCTGGGGGTGGAGGCCTGGTCGAGGACTGGGCCGCGGGGACACTATAAAGCCCCGAAATCACCTCAAGATAACCTCAAGATAACCACTAACCCCTATAACCTTCTCCCAACTCCAGTAGTAATACTTGCCACACAAACGGGGTCAGAATTCATCAAGCATATTTATACAGCCACTGACGAAACCTGTACATCTTTCTTAATGATAGCGAGTGTGTTTACAGACATATTAAACAGTTTACCAGCTTGGCAACTTCACAACCCAAGGTTGTTGTTGTTAACCTCGAGGTGCTTAGCGGCTCGTAACCTGTTTAATCAATGTAAACCAAGCAGCCAAGATTGATGAAAGATGTACAGGTTTCGTAAGTGTATTTATAAATTAATCATGGGTTAGGTTGCTCTCGACGACCTCCTCCTTCAGGAGGAACTTACCAGCCGGGTCTCCACCACGCCGGAGAACCTGCTGGAGACGCAGGAGAGCTGGGGAGAGAACCACCACGACAGAGACGTCCTCCCTCACCGCCAGCTTCTCCAGGAGCCAGGTGCCTGGGTCCTCAAGCTGCTCCGGCTCCGTCAGTCTCCAGATGTCCACCACCTGAGGAGAGCGCCCCGCCGGGTAAGAATGGGACTTTCACAACCACCACTCCTGGGTCAGTGCCCCACATGGAAGGATGCACATATTTCTTAGTGTAAACCAAATAATGCAATTTCCAATATTCAGATTTCTGCTTTTCTTATTAAATTTTGTACTAATTTGAGAGAGAGAGAGAGAGAGAGAGAGAGAGAGAGAGAGAGAGAGAGAGAGAGAGAGAGAGAGAGAGAGAGAGAGAGAGAGAGAGAGAGAGAGAGAGAGAGAGAGATGGAGGGAGAGAGAGGGATGGATGGAGAGAGAGAGGCATAATCTCACCTGTCTGTCACAGTGGGCTGTGATGTCCTCCGCCAGGGTGGCACAGAGACCCTCCAGCCTGCTGGTGTCCAGGGCGTGGATCAGCAGCACCTCCCCTCCTGCTGGTGGTGGTGAAGGCTGTGACAGTGGTGGTGGTGAAGGCTGTGACAGTGGTGGTGGTGGTGAAGGCTGTGACAGTGGTGGTGGTGAAGGCTGTGAGAGTGGTGGTGGTGAAGGCTGTGACAGTGGTGGTGGTGAAGGCTGTGACAGTGGTGGTGGTGAAGGCTGTGACAGTGGTGGTGGTGAAGGCTGTGACAGTGGTGGTGGTGAAGGCTGTGACAGTGGTGGTGGTGGTGGTGAAGGCTGTGACAGTGGTGGTGGTGGTGGTGGTGGTGAAGGCTGTGACAGTGGTGGTGGTGAAGGCTGTGACAGTGGTGGTGGTGGTGGTGAAGGCTGTGACAGTGGTGGTGGTGGTGGTGGTGGTGAAGGCTGTGACAGTGGTGGTGGTGGTGGTGGTGGTGAAGATTGTGACAGTGGTGGTGGTGGTGGTGAAGGCTGTGACAGTGGTGGTGGTGAAGGCTGTGACAGTGGTGGTGGTGGTGGTGAAGGCTGTGACAGTGGTGGTGGTGGTGGTGAAGGCTGTGACAGTGGTGGTGGTGGTGGTGAAGGCTGTGACAGTGGTGGTGGTGGTGGTGAAGGCTGTGACAGTGGTGGTGGTGGTGGTGGTGAAGGCTGTGACAGTGGTGGTGGTGGTGGTGAAGGCTGTGACAGTGGTGGTGGTGGTGGTGGTGAAGGCTGTGACAGTGGTGGTGGTGGTGGTGAAGGCTGTGACAGTGGTGGTGGTGGTGGTGGTGGCAGTAGTGGTGGTGAGAGTAGCACCAGGAGCAGCAGTGGTGATAATATAACCAACATGGTGGTGGTTGAGGAAAATTTTCGGCGAGAATGATTAACGGAGCTGCGAGAGCGCCCACTGGCCACGGTACTGGTGCCATGATAGTGATTATGATGGTGACACACACACACACACACACACACACACACACACACACACACACACACACACACACACACACACACACACACACACACACACACACACACACACAGGGATTTTAGGGGGCGCGAGACGGTGAAGGTAGGAAGGGGGAGCCGCAGTTGCGAGTTGGCGAAGTAGACCACTGCGTTACAGAGTTATAAGTTCCCACTCATGACAGATCATTACCAGTTTACAAGGGATTATAACGCTGTTGTCAATAGATGCGTGAATCTGTTTGCCGTTCTGGGAATATCGCTCTAATGCAGCGTCTTAAGAACAAAAATTAAATCGGTTATTTTCTTTATTAATGATGTAAGGGTCCGAGTTAACGGACAATGAAAAACCACATATATGGAGAGCAACAAAAGGTGAATCAAAAATAGTTCCGTTTCCGAGTGAGAAGACACGCTCGAGGAGGAGTGTAGCTGTGAGGGCGTTTAGTACCTGAGTGGGAGGTGTTGTGAGTGCCTGCAGGGGTAGCCTCTACGTCCCCGAGGTCCGAGGGATCCAAGAATCTGTCCCTGACGAAGTAGCCGACGAGCGCCAGGACAAACACAGCCACGCCAGCCACCACTATCAGCGACGCCGACGCCCTGGAGGTGGCACACGCACCAACACAGAAAAAATGGGGAATTAGTGTGTGTGTGTGTGTGTGTGTGTGTGTGTGTGTGTGTGTGTGTGTGTGTGTGTGTGTGTGTGTGTGTGTGTGTGTGTGTGTGTGTGTGTGTGTGTGTGGGTGTGGTGTGCGTGTGCGTGTGCGTGTGTGTGTGTGCTTACCTAGTTGTGCTTGCGGGGGTTGAGCCCTGGCTCTTTGGTCCCGCCTCTCAACGGCCAATCAACTAATGTACAGGTTCCTGAGCCTATTGGGCTCTATCATATCTACATTTGAAGCTGTGTATGGAGTCAGCCTCCACCACATCACTGCCTAATGCATTCCATTTGCCTACTACTCTGACACTGAAAAAATTCTTTCTAACGTCTCTATGGCTCATTTGGGCACTCAATTTCCACCTGTGTCCCCTAGTGCATGTGCCCCTTGTGTTAAAAAGTCTGTCTTAATCTACCCTACCAATTCCTCTGAGAATCTTATATGTGGTGATCATGTCCCCTCTAACTCTTCTGTCTCCTAGTGACGTGAGGTTTAATTCCCGTAGTCTCTCCTCGTAGCTCATACCCCTCAGTTCGGGTACTAGTCTGGTGGCAAACCTTTGAACCTTTTCCAGTTTAATCTTATGCTTGACTAGATATGGACTCCATGCTGGGACCGCATACTCCAGGATTGGTCTGACATATGTGGTATATAATGTTCTGAAAGATTCCTTACACAAGTTTCTAAAGGTCGTTCTTATGTTAGCCAACCTGGCATATGCCGCTGATGTTATCCTCTTGATATGAGCTTCAGGGGACAGGTCTGACGTGATATCAACCCCCAGGTCTCTCTCTCTCTCTCTCTCTCTCTCTCTCTCTGATTCTTGAAGTATTTCATCTCCCAAATGATACCTTGTATCTGGTCTCCTGCTCTCTACACCTATCTTCATTACATTGCATTTGCTTGGGTTAAACTCTAACAGCCACTTGTTCGACCATTCCTGCAGCTTGTCCAGGTCTTCTTGAAGTCTCAAGCTGTCCTCCTCTGTCTTAATCCTTCTGTGTGTGTGTGTGTGTGTGTGTGTGTGTGTGTGTGTGTGTGTGTGTGTGTGTGTGTGTGTGTGTGTGTGTGTGTGTGTGTGTGTTTTAAACCCTGTAAGGTGCGCGGTTGTTTAAAAATACTACAACGAAGAGCATTTGACTGAAAAAATAGTTACCAAGTGAAATGGGGAAAAAAATCGCAGATAACTTATACTGGCGCAGTATAAGGAATAAAACCAATTATTAAGACATTTTTCACAGTTGAGCCTAAATTCACACTTCCATCTGTGAGTAACTAGCTCATCAAGACTGTAACTTGCTTAGTTAAGTGAATTGTTGGGTTCCCTCCCTGAGCCCATCGTGTGCCTCTGTAACCCTTTCCACTACTGCCCACAAGATGGGTATAGGGTGCATAATAAATGAACTAAACTAAGTAAACATCTGTGATTGTACCTGTGTAAACATATATGCATTTAACTGCCTTAGTCGGTGATAGGAGACCTCACCTTTCCCAGGATGCAACCCACAACAGTCACCTAACTCATAGGTACCAATTTAACAGGTAAGCGAATAGGTGCTTCAGGTGAAAGGAAGCCGTGTCCCGCCATTTCTGTCTTGTCCGGGTATTGAACCTGGGTACTGTGATTGCGAGTCAAAGACGTAGACCACTGTGAAACCACAGATATGTGGTGGGTATTTCTATATATATTCTCACAGTCGAGTACTTGTACTACGTGAGTACCTGTTGATGAACTGGCCGTTGATGTAATGATCGGTACATCAATGGCCTTGCTTCTTGCAGGTTGGCGTTCGATCCCCCAATGACCCCAAACCCTATTATATATGGTTTGGGGTCATTTTATATATTATATTTTATATAACAGTAACTGCTTATAAGTATTTAAATTTACGTTGAATTACAGATGGTCGTGCCTGCGAAGATTCTCACTCCTGCTAACTGTCGTTCCCACCCGACACTGCAGCTCCTTACAGTGTAATCAGCTCGAGATGAACAACCAACATTGTTCACCCAGCAGTGAACGGGTACCTGGTGGTTAAACGATTTAATTGGCGGGTCGTATTCTGGGGGGAAAAATTATGATTAAGGACCTGCCCGAAACGCTATGCCTGCTAGTGGCTCTACGAGACTAAGAAAGTTTATAAATAAATAAAAATACAATCAGGCATTGTTTATTTTCAAGTTACTGGTTGGAGTTAACTCCAAATTTGGAGTTGGAGTTCATTTTTGGAGTCGGGTATAGCGACAGGTTGTTCACCTCCAGTCATACAATAGCTTGAACGACCTCATCCCTTTTGTGTGTGTATCTATACCTCCATACACATACTTCAATATCAATTACACCTCGCAATGGGACAAGAAACTCGATCAATACATTATTGACCTCTGAGGGTGACCTCTGACCTCCGAGGGTGACCTCTATGAGCCCCTGTGCACATCACACCTGCTGCTGGGGGGTGGGGGGGGGGGGTTAGCCGACGTTGTTAAGGAGGAGGTTTGAGAAAATCTAATCCTTTTTAATAATCGTTGAGCTCTCTCGTCATTAATTACACCGATCTCGCAGATAAAAGATTATTTGGTTGAAAGGTTTTAGTGTTATTTCACTTACATTTTGGGTTTGAGTTCGACTCGGGTTTCAGGAGGCGAGGGATCGAGCCCCTGGTGTGTGTACAGCCGCTCGTCGTCCCGTGACTCTGGCGCGGTGCATCCCTCTGCTGTCGCCTTCAGGATAGGGGTGAACTGGTAAGGATAGAGGATGTGTAGTGGAGGAGGAGCTGGGATATTGCTTATGCTGTTAATGGAGAAAGGCTTTAATGATGGTGATAGTGGTGATGGTGGTGGGGGTAATGGTGATGATAGTGGTGTTGGGTGATGGTGATGGTATAGATAGTGATGGGTCAAGTTGTCTTTATTACCATGGAAGGGTTGAATGATTCATCCATATTTATATGTCTAATCCTCGCCCCCCCCCCCCTACTAAACAGTCTCCCTGACTTGGCACCTTATTTCCATAATTACTTACTAACCTACTTTTTTAAACAATCAAACTATCCTGGGCCAATTACGTTACCTCGATAGCTTGTTCCACAAATCAACAACCTTGTTTTCAAACCTGTATTTTACCTCAGGTTTTTAGCGTTAATCTAAGCTTCTTCAAGTCCACACTTCCACTCCCTAAGTGGACTCGTCAAATTGAAAATGTGGCAATTGCAACTCACTACCAAGAAGTATTGTTCTCCAGGAACATAAGTTCCTTGCACTTGGATGTTCTGGATGTTCTTCAGGGCCTCCGCCGTGCCCACAGAGTCCCAGGTTGAGTTGAAGACCTCCACCTTCCAGCCCCGGACCTTCGGCGACGGCTTCAGGTTCACCGCCAACAGGGTGTTGCTCCTGACGGAGAAAAACCAGTATTGATCGTGACATTTTTTTGTATATCTATTGGCTAGGGTTGGTCAGTCCAGCAACCAGGAGGCCTGGTCGACGACCGGGCCGCGGGGACGCTAAGCCCCAGAAACACCTCAAGGTAGGGTACCCGGCGTCGCTCGGGGTCACGGAGGGCCGCATCTACACTACACACGGCCCTTCATCACTGTTACCATCTACACTACATACGATTATCATTGTATCCCATCTACACTATACACTACCGTCATCACTGTAGCCCCATCTGCACTATCTTCATCACCATCTACACTACACTCTGCCACCATCGCAGGCACTGTCTCCTCTACACCGTCCTCACTCCTATAAGTAGCCGTACTAAAGCGTTTCTCAGACTTATTTAACCTGCTGCAATTAACTAAGTAATCCTGGTTAATAGCCAAGGCACAACCATTACAACCCTGACCTATAACCACGGTGCAACCTTCATAACCCCCTCACCAACAACCACAATATCAACCACTACCACCCTCACCAACAACCACTACAACCCTTACCAACAACCACAATTCCAACCACTACAACCCTTATCAACAACCACAATTCCAACCACTACAACCCTTATCAACAACCAGAATTCCAACCCTTACAACCCTCACCAACAACCACCACAACCCTCACCAACAACCACACAACCCTCATCATCAACAATAACAACCACCACAACCCTCATCACCACAACCCTCACCAACAACCACCACAACCCTCATCATCAACAATAACAACCCCCACAACCCTCACCACCACAACCCTCACCAACAACCACCACAACCCTCATCACCACAACCCTCACCAACAACCACCACAACCCTCATCACCACAACCCTCACCAACAACCACCACAACCCTCATCACCACAACCCTCACCAACAACCACCACAACCCTCATCATCAACAATAACAACCCCCACAACCCTCACCACCACAACCCTCACCAACAACCACCACAACCCTCGCCAACAACCACAACACACTCACCTGAAGAAGGGGCCGGTGTAGGTGGCCGCGATATCGTTGACTCCCGGTAAGACGACCTCCTGAGACCTGAGAGTGCCACACCTCACAAGGAAGCAGCCGGCCTGGCTCACACACCGACTACCTTCCTTCTGTAGCAGGTAAGGTGATATTAGGGTCAGGAGGGAGCGCCTCCTGGGGCCATTAGGGCTATATAGCATCTGGGAAGGGGGTCAGGATAAGGATTTGGGACGAGTGGGGGGGGGGGGGGAAGGAATGGTGCCCAGGCACTTGGACGGTTGGGGATTGAACGCCGACCTGCATGAGGCAAAACCGTCGCTCTACCGTCCAGGCCAAGTGGTTGGGTAGCATTCTGTAGGAGGAGATGAGGGAATGGCTAATCCCTAAAACTCTTATGATAGTTATTTTAATCATTTGAAAATAATTGCTAAAATAATTATTACTTGTATGGGTAGTTGAAGTTTTATTGCTGCTGATTGCCATGTTCCTCACCTTCCCCCCCACCCCCTATCGTCTGGAACTTTACTATCACCAGCATCTTCACTATCAGCACCAGTCATCATAATCATTATTATGTCATCATTTCTTTAATGCTGATTTTGTCCTAAATACCAGCACTGAACAATACCTTTTTTTCCTGAACCATTGACTGAAAGATGGGATAAGGAGCCCACAATGTGTCCATTATCCATCCCTATTATAGTGAGCTGTGTCTATCCAATATCCCTGTCATAGTGAGCTGTTTCCATCCTCTATCCATATCTTAGCGAGGAAGAGTCACTAAATTCTTAGATAGATAGCTTGGCTTCGTGATTCCTTCTCATTATAATCTCTCTTTTTCCTATAAGAGTTTTGTTTTGTAAAAAGAGAAGCGAGTTACCTTCGGAGGCCACATGATCATGGGCTGGAGCGGCTCGTTGTCGCATCTCTCAACATAAAGTTGTCCGCCTGCAGAACCATGGGAGAATGTGAATGAGAGAGAGAGACAGATAGAGAGACACAGACACAGCGAGATAGCGACACAGCAAGGCTCAGAGACACAGCAAGACACATAGAGACACATTGACTGGCAGACAGAGACAATGTCCAGCACGTGTTGCGTCAATAACGTACAATTTGGGAGTGAATGACATTGAAAACATCGTTGTTTTGCTTGTAAACAAAGTATTGGGGAACTAGTTAAGAAACGCTTTGAAAATTAAATTGATGGTTCGTTAAACATGTTTATAACTAAAACAAAATTTTTTAATTCTGTTGAAATCAAGACAAATTATATCATGAAAAATATTGAAAATAAGATGTGCGTAATTTATAGAAGTGTGTGTACTCGCCTATTTGTGCCTGCAGAATAGACCATTAGCTCTTGGACCCCATCTTTCTAACCGTCGGTTATCTAATGTACCGACTCTCAAACTATTTTTCCTCCATCTAATACACATATTTCTTTCTAACACACACACACACACACACACACACACACACACACACACACACACACACACACACACACACACACACACACACACACACACACACACACACACGCACGCGCACACACACATCCCAAGATGCATCCCGTAGCAGCTGTCAAACTCCCATATACCTATTTATTGCTAGGTGAACAGACACATTAGGTTCAAGAAACTGCGTAATTCTGCCTCGACCGCTAATCAATCCTTGGGACTGCGACCCCAGAGCGCTTTACGTTCGGCCACGAGGACCTGTATGTAAGATTACATGTTACCTGGACACCGAGGACTTCTGTTACACCTGACGGGGTCGGCGACGGAGATGCTGTAGTCGAGAGAGGAGGTGACGTTGGCGTCCTCTGCCGCCGTCGCTGTCACTGCTAGGGGCGTACATGGCTCCGGTGGGGGGACGTGGGTCTCGGAACCTGCAGGCACATGGGACATTTCCCCTTGGGGCTTGGGACAGTTCCATAGAGGCACGAAAATCGTACAAAAAGGGCAGAAAGAGATTCAGACTGAGTCACAATAACGGGGCTGCAGATATGATAACGGAAACACACATCAGAAGATGAGGAGACGACGACGTTTCGGTCCGTCCAGGACCATTGTCAAGTCAACGCACGACCTGATAATGGTCCAGGACGGACTGAGACGTCGTCGTCTCCTCATCTTCCGGTGTTTAGTTTGGTCATCATAACAGAAATAAATGTTGATGCTTTCTTTGTCACATCTAAAAGTGAAGATAATTATTTTTATGTTATCTATATCTAAATGAATCTACGTAATAGACTAAAATAAAAACATAGTTCAAAATTACATTTAACATAAGAGTTATAGAACCAGCAGAAGCCCAAATAGGCGGGCTCCTATTTAAATACACCCAAACTCGTTCATCATATGTCTAACTCACGATGGAAACAACCAAGTTCTTCAGCTATGTTTTGTTAAGCCCCATTTAGATTGTACAGTTAGGTTTTGGTCGCCATACGACACAAGGGACAAATTCTGCTTCTTCTTGAGAATAGGTGCAGTTTGCATGAAGGGTTTACCCTCCCGATGACTGCACCAGGACAGATGTAGGGAGACGCGTTGACGTTGAGGAGAAGAAAGTCAAAAGTGTTAGATGTGTCGGGTCGTAGAGAAAGGAGTGGCGACGAAACAAAGGAGGACGTTAAAGGGAGACTCGCCGCACCGTAGGGCGGGGTGTCGAGTTCACGGCAGCAGCTGATCCACGTACGGCGTAACGGTGTGTGCAAGACGTCGACTAATATTTCTCCGTAAACTTGTATATCAGAAAGCGCAAGAAGTACGCATCCCAAATCACCCACGTGTCAGGGGACACCCGGCCACCAGGCGGTGCCTTCGGCTGAGACATCTTATCCGGCACCTTATAAACAAACTCCTTCACCCGCGACACCCAGATAGTGGACGAGCACCACGGGATCGGAAGCACCCGGGCATACAGGTATACAGATAAGGGCCCAACACCGGACCCTCACAGGTCACGACCCCAGCAGTCGGGACTAGGCTTCCCCCACACCGGGGCAACGAAGGACGGGGAACCGCAGGGGATGCAGGCGCGACATCGACCCCACCACTAGGCACAGGAGCCGAGGTCCCCCGGCGCACATCTTTCCGCAACACCACGACGAGGTCCCGATCATCAGGGACAACCCCCCCCCCCCGGCGAAGATCCAACAGTAGGAGACGCAGGAGGGGGGGGGGGGGCACAGGTAGCAACTTCGGAGCCCCTCACAGCACCAACAACCACTGCGGGGGACGCCAGAGCACCATATTCCCCCACCAACTCCCAAGGCACACCACGAACGGGAGACACACTCCGAGCCCGCCGCGAAAGCTTCGAGACAGGCCGCACCACACCACTCCCAGCAGGCCCCGCCGCAGGCACAGTCACCATCTTCACATCTACACAGGCCACACCCGCACCGCCAGAAGAGTCCACATCGCCCGCACTGTCCGCATCATTCAGGGAAACAGCCTCAGAATACCAACACGCACGCTTCTGCAAAGGAGAAGCAGAACTACAGTCGCCAACACACATAGGCACGGCAGGCACCTCCAAAACAGCAGAACCCGCGTACCCGGGAGCCGGTACCACATCCACAGACGGGGGCAGGACATAGACTTCCACCGGGACATCCTGCACTACACGCAGCGCAGGCGACGGCCCGACACCCACACACACCGGCGCAACAACCCCAGGGGCCACAGCAGGTACCAGACGTGTCGGACAGGCTGTAGAACTCGCCTCAACAGGCGGAGCAGCAGACAGGCAATCAGGCGCCTCAAGCACAGCACCCACTCCGTCCTAAGAACCGTCCGAACGCAACAGGGGCGGAAAATCCTCCGCACGAAGAACATGCACCCGACCAGTCGCTCCCACGTCGCACGCTGCAGCCAGATGACCCTCGTGACCACACCGATAACAGGTGCGCAGTTGACCCCGATACAGGCAACGGAGCGTGTAACCCAACACGGACATCGACGACGGTACACTACACTTCAGCGACATCGTCAGGGTGCGGGAGCCGTCAAGCAAACCAACACAGTGCCCGTCAAGGACCTTGTTCCAACGAAGACTTAACATTGTCCCAAATCGTTCAAAACAGGTTAAAAAGTCGTCCTGAAATTCGTAGGGGGTACCATGCACCGCCATAGACGTCAAGGTGACACTAATATTCACCACCTTAACAGAGCCAGCAGTATCAGGGAGAGGGTAAACACGCCGCTCACACCGCTCGAGAAACGCCTGAAAAGCAGGCGTTTCGGCGGAACTTTACCACAGCATGGTTGCCCTGAAGCAGCTGGACGCCCACTAGGTCCGACAGCTGCACATGTAGCACGTCCACCAGGGCGACACCAACCGGTCCACCGGCACCGTAAATGCCAGATCAGCCGACAATGTCCTCTTCACCGGAGGGCAAGAAGTCCCAGAAGCCAAGTCAAACGTCACCCCGTCAGTGGCAAACCACCACCAGCAGGGCAAACCTAGCAATCACCCAACGTAAACACTAGCCAGAAGCGGAGAGACCTCAGGAGCGTCCGACCCGGCTGGCGGTCACCACCCTATTCCGGGACAAATTCACTTAAACGCTTTGAATAAAGAATAACAAAGTTAACCCTAGAAATTAGACCCCTTCCATAGAGAGTGGAAGATTGAGAAAGCCAAATACATTTTCTATAAAGGAGAAGTGTTAGGGGTGACATGATTAAAGTGGATGAACGGGGATAACATAATGAAGAATTTTTAAAACACGAAAATATGGATATAAATTGGATAAAGTTTAGATTCAGGAAAGACCTGGGTAAATACTGGTTCGGTAACAGGGTTGTGAATCAGGTTACCGGATTGCGTAGTAGACTTGGGATCCCTCGATTGTTTCAAGCGTAGGTTAGACCTATATATTAATGAGTTTGAGTATATATAAATAGAAGCTGCCTAGTATGGAGCTAATAGGTCTTCTGCAGTTACCTTAACTTGTGTTAAATGCAATTTAGAACACCATTTTCTATATTCTTATGTTCTTAAGACTGGTGGCCAGGTCTCCCGCAGATTACCTGGTGTAGTGGAGTAGTAGTCAGAGTCCTCACCAGCTCCAGCTCCTGGGCCCATCGTCGCGGCTACTGTCAACACCGTCAACAGCCTCGTCAGATCCACTGTAAGTAATGACAGTTGTAATCTGTGATAGTCGATGAGTATCGTTCAACACAAGGATTGTTCAGTTCAAGTATCGTTCAATACAAGGATCGTTCAATACAAGGAACGTTCAACACAAGGAACGTTCAACACAAGGAACGTTCTATACATAGTTCATATATCAGGATCGTACAGTATAAAACGTCATATATGAAGTGGTTTTGCCTCAGGAATCGTACCAATTGCGACAGTCTTGACCATTATTCTCAAAGCGTCAATTTTACGGTGCTAATAATTTCCCCTAAAGCACAAGAATTTTGACGTTGTCTTCGAAAGCGTCGACATGGCGGTGTATTAAGTGGCTGCGACTGAAGTCAATAGAGGCGTCACCAGCGAAGGGAAGTGTGGAAGCCAACTGACGATAGCGGGGAGAACGATAGCGGGAGAACGATAGCCCTGTGTTATCGTCTGTAAACTCACCAATAACACACAAAATGCACCGCTTTTTGTACGCTCGACGTACAAGCGTACGAATTCGAATGCCGTTATGTTTTGGAAAGCATTGAAAACGTACGGTTTGAAGGACTCGATGTGAATTTAGGAGAGGGCGAGTGCGGTACGCTACGGTACAGTGTGGGGCCAGGTACGGTGTGGGACGGTACAGTGCGATACGCTGGCAACCAGGCCAAACTAATGCGATGAACATGGTTAATCTACTAGCACATCCGGTTTAATTTATGCTGGCTAACTCGTTTTTGCCCCTCTCCCTCCCCCCCTCCCCCTCTCTCCCTCCCTCCCTCCCTCCCTCCCTCCCTCCCTCCCTCCCTCCCTCCCTCCCTCTGTCTCTCTCTGTCTCTCTCTCCATCCACATGATTGGCCACAATAAGAGAACATGATCACCACGAAATTCACACTTACAATAATAATACAATTCAATAATACAATTGACGATTTACTATAAAACCCCAAAAACGGCCAACCTACTCATGAAAAACTCTCCAGACACCATACAGAACGCCTTGAAGGAGACCAACGTCGTCTATGCCTTCAAATGCCCACTTGGGGACTGTAAGCTCCCAAAGAACTCAGTATATAGGCAAAACAGCAACGTCTCTCTCCAGGCGATTAACAAATGCATAAACAACAGGGCTCCATCAAGGAACATATAATCTCTTCTCACAACCAATCATCACCAGAGAAATCTAAACAAACATCACAGAAATCATCGATAGATACGGCGATAGCAGGAGGCTCGACATCTGCGAGGCACTACACATCAAAAAGTCAACATCAGCAATCAACAGCCAGTTGATGCACAATTATATTCTACCTACTTCAAGACTCCGAACCAATTTAGAAGCATCAAGAGGAACCATCATGGGCCAATAGGCCTTCTGCAGTTATTTCCATTCTTATGTTTTTATACCCATTGGTTCGTGTTCTATCATGTGTAAATGTCAATCCCCTCACTCAAAACTTTTGTACTATATCACCTCACCCAAATGCGAGTATAAGTATGGACGTATTTTGCGTGTTTACAGGTTAAAGTTGTGTGTGTAAACTAAAGTCTTTGAAAATGTAATAAGTTACTACGAAGCGCGTTCAGGCGTCAAACTAGAAATAAAAATGAATTTTGGAGAATTGATTTTTCAATTACCATCGACAGTGAATAGAAACATAAGAAATATTGAGAAAATTCGTGTTAGAATTATTAATCTTACCTTTTCGGTCATATTCAACAACATATATACATACACTTACATATACAATCACCTACACAAATACACACTTCAATAATCTTTTGTGTCACAAGTGATTCAACAAGAGGCTCACAACAGTCACTATACAAGGCACTTTACATCTATGGTGAGTCACACAGTTACTAGTCTTACTGCACACCCACCCAACTGGGCGGCAGCTTTACAGTCATGTGTTCCACACCCACCCAACTGGGCGGCAGCTTTACAGTCATGTGCTCCACACCCACCCAACTGGGCGGCAGCTTTACAGTCATGTGCTCCACACCCACCCAACTGGGCGGCACCTTTACAGTCATGTGCTCCACACCCACCCAACTGGGCGGCAGCTTTACAGTCATGTGCTCCACACCCACCCAACTGGGCGGCAGCTTTACAGTCATGTGCTCCACACCCACCCAACTGGGTGGCACCTTTACAGTCATGTGCTCCACACCCACCCAACTGGGCGGCAGTTTTACAATCATGTGCTCCACACCCACCCAAATGGACTGTAGCTTTACAGTCATGTGCATGCATTACCTACAGTAAGCAAATTTTGGATACTTCGCTAAGATTCCTGGCAGTACATCATTATGAATGAAGTACTTACACATTTCTTGGACTCCACTGTTGTTATCTCTGAATTCAGAGATTTTTTCACATTCTATTATATAATGACGAAAAGTATGCGAATAGTTCTGCTGACAGAGTTTACATTTAGTCAAATCTACATCAGCAGATGTTACAAACTCCCAAAGGTACTTGTAGCCGAACCTAAGCCTAGCAGTGGTAACATCTAGAAGTTTGCTAACCTTATTGGATGACCCATAGACGTTTGGTACTTCCTGCATAATAGAATGATGATAGATGGAGAAACTAGGGTGGATTTCACTTTGCCTCAAGTCTCCGAAATTTAGTTGATGTTCCCGGAATATTACTTTCCCTCAGGCTGCTTAAAGGCAGTCCAAGTTGGTAATCAATTCCCTCATTATGAGCAAAAGTCTTGGCTAACTCATCAGTTCTATCATGCATTCGGAGACCAATATGAGAAGGAATCCACAGGAGACAAACTCTGACTCCATCGTTGATTATTTCACTATATCTGTGTCTAGCTTCAGAGATAAACACGTCACAGTTATGCCTTGGGAAGCTGAGGGCAGTCAAGGATGACAAGGAGTCACTTACAATTAGCGTGTCAACTTTGGATTCATATACGCGCTCGAGTGCAAGGATTATGGCAACCAATTCTGTTTGAAGAGTGGAGGCCCAGTTACTTAAGCGTGATCCACACTCATGGGAAAAGGAACCATCTCTCCCTGTCACAACAACTGCACATCCAGCTGCACCATAGGACTGGTGCAAGGATCCATCAGTGTAAATAGTCTGAGAAAGGGAGCGCTCTCTGACTAAAGCATCAGTTTGGCTTAAGGCATTGTACTTTGCTTCTTGTCGAAGTAAGGCTTGTTCTTTAATCAGGTTCTTGGGTGGGAAAGGGGGGACAGTAATTTGGAAAGGAATGATCTCCCATGAGGCAGGAAAGTGTTGTTGTTGTCTCTTTTGGAAGAGGTGATGAATATTATACATTCTGAGAATAATGGCAGTTTTCGTAATCCATTTAGAGGGATGGTGACCTTCAAGAAAAAAGGCTTGGAGGGCTTCAGTGCAGGGGTTAGGGTGGGTTAGCCTAAGCATCTTGATACCAATTAAAGCATTCATTTCAGTAATACGATCACTTACACATGAAATATTTAGTTCCTTCCTCATGTTTAGTAAATCAGTTGTACGGGGGCATCCGAGGATAATCCTCATGGCTTCGTTTTGCATCTTTTCCAGCCCTCCAAGCATTCTCTTAGGCACTAGAGCAAGCATGGGTGCAGCATAATCGATCAGAGATCTAATATATGACAGATACATCATTTTTGCCAATTCTCACATTTGCACCATAGCTTGGATGGCAGCCTGCCACAGCCTTGAAAGCACGGTGCCTCTCTCTACATTGGCGACCCAGTCTGGCTACAACATTGCGGTACAGTGGAACCTCAAGACCAAGGTATTTGTATCTGGTTACATAGTCGAGCAGAGAGCCATCATGCAGCTGCATCTTGCGAACGGTCCCACCCCGTCTGGGTGGGCGTCGGTTCACGATCTGTTTTCTCTACTGAGATGACTATCTTGAGGTTATCTTGAGATGATTTCGGGGCTTTTTAGTGTCCCCGCGGCCCGGTCCTCGACCAGGCCTCCACCCCCAGGAAGCAGCCCGTGACAGCTGACTAACTCCCAGGTACCTATTTACTGCTAGGTAACAGAGGCATTCAGGGTGAAAGAAACTTTGTTCATTTGTTTCTGCCTCGTGCGGGAATCGAACCCGCGCCACAGAATTACGAGTCCTGCGCGCTATCCACCAGGCTACGAGGCCCCTTTGAGTGTGGGGGCCTGCGAGGCCCCCGAGGCATCCATTGGTGTGGATCAGTACATCATCCGCATAGCTAATGATGTGTTCGCTGGGCCCCTAGTTACTGAGTTTAGAAGTGCATTTATTAACACATTGAACAGAGTAGGTCTGAGGACGCCTCCCTGTGGAGTGCCAAGTTCAAAATCTCTCGTTACACTCCTATGCCCTTGGAAGAGTACAGATGACTTCCTGTTGGATAGAAAGCCTCTTATCTACCGTAGTAGCCATTCTCCAACATTCATTTTAGCAAGTTCGCTCAAATGACGTAACGGTTAGCAATGTCAAAGGCTGACTTAAGATCTAGGAAAGTGATATATCATATATCAGTATGCAGGGGGAGGAAGGTGGTAAAATACAGTGATGTTTACTCTTTCCATGCATGAAGCCATATATCTTGGGAGACAACATGTTACTAATTCTGTAAAGGAGACGATTGAGAATCATTCTCTCAAGACACTTACAGAGACAACTAGTGAGGGAGATTGGGCGAAAAGCACTCTGCTGGTTAGGTTTAGGAATGGGAATAATAAGGACAGGACTTCTAGGAGTTCTCGTCTAATGACACTGTTAAGGGACCTATTTGATAACTCAAGATTCCGTTCAACACTGTCTTTATTTACTGCAACCTTAGCAAGGGCGTCAATTTTGTCAGGTTCCTGCAGGCCAACGTGAGAAGGAATCCACAACATTTTTATATTTACCCTCTTGCTAAGTATGCTTATATATCTATTGCTGGCTTCTGAGACACCACATACCTCTAATCCGGACTATTGCCACCATTAATCTTTTCTCTAGGAATATTCCAGCTAGGTCTACCAGGGCTCCCTGCCCCAGGAACACAACAGCTAGGCCTACTAGGGCTTCTGACACACCTGGAGACCTGTTACAAATACACTAACTTGGACGCCAGAAGAGCACCTCGAACGTCTCTTCGTCAGCAGCTGGGAGAATCCCATCCAACAGCAGGAGCAGGAGCAGTGCACAGAGCAGCAGCGGGGAGGCACGTGACCAGCTGGAGAGGCACCGAGTGCACGGGGCACTGTTCAGAGTGTGACTGTGGCGAGTGTCAATACCTCTCTGTTCTGGCTGCCAGAGATTCAGGCAGGCGCCAGATGTTTAATCTTCAGACCTGTTCTTCGCTTCTAAACTAAGAGTATGACAAGGGGAGCGTATGGCAAGGGGAAAGTATGGCAAGGGGAGAATGTTCTCTTAGTGAAAGAGTGACGTCCCTAGCAGCTGTGGTATTAAAATTACACAACTGATAT